GAATGTCGTGTTCCATTGACGTTTCTTGTAGTTTGTACCAGTTCCAGGTCCACGGTCGGGCACCCGGCCACGTACCGGGGTTTACGACCAAATGGAACAACTTTTTACCAATCGGAAATTCCACTTTTGCTACCACCGAAATTTCCGGGTTTTTTTCGTAAATGGAAAGCGCCCTTGGACGTGACAGAGAACATGAAGAAAGTCATGCGTTAAAAACAATAGAATTTTGACAGTTGAAAGTAATTTGCATAACCTCACAGCGCACATGGAGAAAGTCACGCGTTAAAAACAATAGAATTTTGACAGTTGAAAGTAATTTGCATAACCTCAGAGCGCATGCTCTCCAGCTGACATAGCCCCTTTAAACTTCACGAACATCGAGGCGACCGTATTGGAGAAAAAGTTCCTGTGAACGATTTTGTAAGGTTCCCGTGCCGGGAATCATTGCTGAAGTAAAATAGGTAATGGGCCGGGGGAGTCATTTCGTTGCTATGACAACTCCGATGTCATTGCAACTCTGATGATGAAAAATTTTCATCTTAATACAACTGTGGTCGCAATTTTTCCAAATGTTTGTTTATGGCGACGTAGTTTATGCTCAGACTTGGTATTGACCCTGAAAAACCGTATCGAGCCACCTTCATATGCGAGGACGGCCTATGTTGTTGCAATATGGCCCTCATTTCTTTTCGACTCTTTCGGAAAAATTTGGGCAACTTGCGAGATTTTTTTGGGCAAATGGTTTACCGCCCCCCCTGGCAAAAAATTTCCCGTACGCCTATGATACACGCAACTTTAGCGATAATCCATAATCAAATGTACAAATATTAAACGATAATAATTCGTCGCAATATTTAGTAAGCGCTTTTAAGGTGGCTATTAAGAAGACGAAATTATAAAATCTGAAATGCTGAAAAATACGAAATTATTCATTGATTCTAACACAGAACTTTTTCACCACCTTGTTCGTTGATCATTATTATAAGGGTTTCGTGGAATCCAGGGCCGGTTACTTACCCCGGGAAAACCGGAAATTCCGGATGGATAATCAAACCTCGGTTCGCGCTTTTCCATATTTGGGAAGCTTCAGAAAACATGGGCTGCTATTTGTATGAGCGACGCAATTTTTCTACTCTTTTTAGTCTGCAAAGCTGATTTGGATATACTTTGTAGCGGGTCGTTCTCTAACCACGTCAAATTTTATAGTTTTGTGTATAGTTTTGTGTTTATGATTCCCACCCGGGTGGTTTGTGTAACTGGCAAGCACCCCTGTTCTTCTAAAACTTACTTCCGGTTAAAGTAGTGCTACGTCAGAGACGCGAAAAAATTCTCGCTTATTTTTCCGCGTATCATAATCCAGTGATATCAACAAAGCATTAACAAATTTCTTGTGGTGGATAGAAAGAGATATCTTTGTTTTTCTCTTGGATTTAACTGATTTCAAAAGTTCAAGTTCGGAAAGCGCTACTCGATCGGCAATGAAATTATCGCCAATCGTGTCACATCGGACCGGACTGCGCTTCATGGTTGTGTCGGTGATGTTCTGTTTCATCCTGGTTCATTTGACTTCTGCTAAGAGTCAGTCGTTGCTGTACCGAGGACCGAGAGCAGCCAAGAAAAATGCCAGCTCTGTCGGCGGTGACTTTGAAAGAAGACTGAACGCCATGGAAAAAAGGTAAGCTTTCAAATGAATATCCTTTGTTGAATCGAATTCAGAATTTTTTTCCCTTCGATAAGAAACTGAGAGAGTCGCTAACGCCCTAAATAATACACTGAGATTTCTCTAGAGGAGTCTAAACCAATGACAAGGTTTAACACATTTGTAGACGAAGACCACTTATAAGTCTAGCTTCAATGTAAAACGGTCACGCATCTTACTCTAAGGTGCAATTTATTCTTGATTGACTGTAAACAAGTGACTCTTTATTCAAAAAACTACGTTTCGAGATTAGTTCTCTGGTTGACTGTTGATGAAAATCTGCGGGCGTTGATTGTAGGAAAATCAACCTTTGATCACTGTTGTCTCTTTTATTTTTTCCACTGAAGGCACAACACCAGCACAAGCTTGACAAATAAGCGATTGGAAGAGATAGAAAAAAGGTTTGTGGTGTTATACAAATTGAAAAGTAGTCCTTAATGTTTCATTCAAATCCATCCAGTACTTCCTCCATCAGTACTAATTTCTGCATTAATTGGATGACCTACTTCCTTTCAAAATAAAGAAAGATGGTTAATCTTTAAGCTCGGTGGGGGAATTTTCCTTAACCCTTTTTTTTTTTTTGCGAATTTTTATCCAGATTTTAATGGGAGTAGAAAATAATTTTAAATGACCGTTTTGATGTGAAAAACTTCAGTATACTGAGAATTAAATAGTACTTAATGAACCGAAAGCATGTCCAGAGTTCAGTGTGATGAAAAAACAAATACTGGAGGAAGAGAGTAATGAAGATTCCAAGCGCACTCGCTCTCATTTTCATAAACTGAAGCCCGTCATTGTTGAAATTTTTAACTTGCAACCACTCAAATATTGATGACAACCCTGCCCTACAATAAAATCCTATTTTTTAATGTCGTTTTTGTCTCTTTTCAATTTTTTAGAGCGGCACAACACTTAAATTTGCCATCTTGTAGATAAATAGAAATAATAAAAAGTGTTTTAAACTTCTTCAGCGTGATCCGGCTGTGGACAACATTTCATCCTTTACGAGTATGAAGAGTTTTGATCGTTTTCATTTTAAATGCTTACTTCAAGGGGGTTTTTATTTTGAGGTCTACAAGTTAGAAACACCTCGGTAATGCCAAGAAGAACAGAAGAGCAGGATTAGTTCTACTGAGATTATATATAGCTATGAAGCAAATTTCCATACCGTGCGCTCTGATTGCATGATAAGTGAGCTGCAAGGTTGAAGCTGTAAAAAATTGCCTACTATACAAGCTTATAAGGAATACATTCTAAGATTGTAACTGTCAGGTTTATCAGCCATGTTATCTTTTCGTAGACTTGATCTGCTGTTGCGTATACCATCTCGATCAGGGGACTCGTATGCGTCGCTACTGGTCTACTTATTAGGTTGGTAAAGAAACTTGATGTAAACAGGATAAACACACTTACTATAGGTGACTGAAAAAGCTATGTTTTCCAGCTTGAAGCTCGGATAAATAAGCAGTTGTGGGAAATGAAAGTTTTTACTCTCCCAACAAGAACAGAAAAATATCATCTCTTAAGAGGTTTCAATTCTCAGTTTAGCTAATTGAAATCTGTAAAAGTACTTGAATTTGATCGCGGGCGATTATCTCCATATTTTCTTTCTTGAATCAGCTTCTTTGATCATGTTGGTGTTGTGAAGATGAGGTTTCGCAAAACGTTTGAAAAATTATCTTAAGTGTTATTGTTTTGTGTAATGATTCGCAAACAGGGCAGTTAATCCAGACGAAAGAATAAAAAAAAGTGTGCTAAAGAATCGTCAGAAACGTGACTTTGTCAGAAACTAGTAAAAACAGTAGTTTCACAAAGAATAAAAAAAAAGTGAGATATTCAGAACTGAGCAGTGTTGTTTTAGAAAAGTAACCAAAAATTACTGGCTGAGTGTAAGCTAACCTAATCAAAATAAGGCTGTGCTTGGCGTTCATCCGTTTTTGGTGCATTTCAGGCCAGCACGGTCAAAGTACTTCGGGAAAGGTGCGGGTAGGGCCAGCTGGTCCCCCTGGGCCTCCTGGGACACCCGGGTCTTCTGGAACACCTGGGCCAGCTGGACCAACTGGAAAAAGTGGAGCTTCTGGACCAGCAGGACCTAAAGGTAAAATTATCACTTTGTCAAACTGAAAAGATACATGCACAGCTGTATAGAACAATGGAAAACCAAAAACAGAAAAAAAAATACTAAAACCAACCTTTGCCTAAAAGCTCCAAAAGTTAAACAGCCTGAACCTATGTCCACATTTTAACGAGTATAAATTAAGTAAACAAGGTCAGCATAAGGACGTTTGAGCTGTGTTTGATTGTTATTGGCTCCTGTTGGTGACTGGTATCGCGCCAAAAATAGGGTTAAGAGTAGGATTTCACATGCAAGGTCACTAAGTATCAAATAGGACCAAATGTGGTTGAAGAAAGTCTGTCAAAACGTTGTCTGAGATAAACCAAAAGGAAATAGAAGAAATCAACAATCTTGAAAGAAAAAATAAAAAGTGATGGATGTATCCACTACGACACGAAAAGTCAACGAAATCAAGAGAGAATGAGAAATAGAACCCTTTTGGTAAGAGAAGCACTTATCTTCGGTCCAGTTAACAAACGTAATGAACAGGGATAAACAGAACATAATAACTTTTGCCAACGATTACGAAAAAAAGTTTAACGACCCTTGTACTAAATGAATTTAATTACCGATTTTAGAATTAAGAGAAATGAAGAAATGAATAAACGTTAGATGAGTGGGGACCACTTATTCAACATAAACCAAGAGCTCATTCTCTCTTGAATAAACTTACTAAAATAAAAAAAAAATGTCTTTATAAACACCTCGAAAGACAAAAAAGAACTTAAAGAAATCATGAACTGACAGAATTAATTAAAAAAACTTGCCAATTTATCAAAAACAAAGAGGCATAAAACCGATGGAAGGTTAGGCTTTTGCCTCAGACTTATGAACCTCCAAATAGACCTCTAATGCAAAGCAGTGTTTTTTCGACCAAAAAGAGAAAAAGCCAAAATAATACTAAGAGTGCAACCATCGTCTTTTTTCTCGTCTCCTCCTCCTTCTTCCTCCTCGCTCATTCGTTTCTCCTTTCCTTTTCCTTCGCTTGTGTGATTTTCGAGCTTATCGGACCCTTTTTCACTTATGGCTACACTCCTTAGGTTCGTTTACAAAAATCTGGCTAGAGTTGGTCCCTGCCGTTCTTCATTCATTTCTTGAAACTCTATACATCGAATTCTTTTTGGATACTTAATGCTGGTCCCAGCAGTTTGTCTTAGAGACGGTTGACTGTACATCAAAATTGCAGGAGAACCAGGGCAGCTTGATGGCAAAAAGGTGATTCAAGGCCCGCCTGGTCCTAAAGGAGACCAGGGAGCAGTTGGGAAGACCGGAGCCCAGGGACCACAGGGTGCCAAAGGAGAAAAGGGACAGGATGGAGCTGGGACATCAGGAGTAAAGTACGTTCGCTGGGGAAGAACCACGTGTCCAAAGGGTGCTCAGATGGTTTATAAAGGTAACGACTTCAAAAATCATGCGGAGTTTTGTTACTCTCAATAATGGTCTAAAACATAAGCCTATATTACAAATGCTTGATTTCTTTATTTTAAGTGACAATTTATCGTTTGCATATTGACTCGAATTTTTCTGAACCACTTGAAGATATTTCTATGCCAAACTGATAATGATAATAATAATAATCATCATCAAATAATAATAATAATAATAAGTAAAACAACAACAACAGCAACAGTCAAGACACACTGACATTTTATTTTTGACGATATTGTCGAAAGAGTTCAAGAATACAAAACCCTTTAATAAAATAAAAATGGAAGTCAAAGTGAAAGTAAGATGATTTTAATAACGGTCTGGCGGCTTCTTGTTTTTATCTTTTTTGTGCCAGGTAGAATGGGAGGAGAACACACGGGGCACCATGGTGGTGGATCGAACTACCTCTGTCTTCCTCGCGATCCCATTTATGAAAAGTACAAAACTGGTCATCAGAATGCTGGATACGTGTATGGCGTTGAGTATGAAGTGAGTGATCATAACGGAGATCCATTTGACAAAAATCTTCATGACCATGAGCCACCCTGCGCTGTCTGCTTCGTCAAGTCACGTAGTTCATTGCTGATGATGCCCGCACGGAATGTCTGTCCCTCCGGGTGGACCGAAGAGTACCATGGGTACCTGATGACTTCACACCATGCCCACAAGCATTCAGCTGAATTTATATGTGTCGATGGGAATCCAGAGTACGTTCATGGCACCAAGATAAACAGGGATGGTTCCCTGTTGTACCTAGTGGAAGGAGTTTGTGGCTCACTCCCGTGTCGTCCTTATGAAGCCGGTCGAGAGTTGACATGCGCTGTGTGCACTAAGTGAAGAAGGCGCACAGCAACCACCAACAGCAACACAACTGATGATTTACACCACAATGATTTACCCTAAAAATAGAATGAAAATAAATAAAGCCTACCATTGCAGTAAGCTTGCTGTGACTTAACGTTAAAAGTAATAATTGACTGAAATAAAGATAACGTGAAATCATTAATCATCTTGATGAACCTTTTTCTAACCGTACACCCCCTAACCTCAAGGGCGAGTGATTTCCTTGGAAGGGGGGGGAAACACTAGAATTTACTCGAATTTTGTCGTACGAATCAAAGTGGGCATTAAAATGAGTGAGAGATAAATTTAAAGCTAACCCCCTCCTCCCTCGTTCTTTTAGTGTTAATCCTACCTTACTGCTCACATTCTCCCCGATCTTCTTCTGCATTCAAAATTAAAGATGGCGACTACTGAAATTTAGCGCTCAATAGCACGAAAAAATGCTTGCATTACAGCCCTAATCCAAGGCCTTAATTGGTTTTAGGTTTGCAAATAAGGGAATGCTCGCCGAGCAGTAGTTAACAGAAATATGTTTCATAACGTTTAACAATTCGAACCATATTTAAGAACGTCCTTTCTGACAAGTTACGGTGTTTAAAATAACCGCTTTCCAACAAAAGGAATAATAATAACAATAACAATAGTAATAATGATAATAACAATAATGTTATTATTATTATTATATTATTATTATTATTATTAATGTTATTATTATTATTATTATTATTATTATTAAGAATAATAATGAAGAACCATAAAGAGTGCCCTGAAGGGGAGCATGGGATACCGAACTGGGATTGGCCTGTTTTTAGGCCTAAAAGGCTGTCACTGGGACTGGGATTTGCTTACTGGGAATGAGGAAAAAAAGCGCCGTGCACGCTGGGTTCTTCAGTATACAAGTCACTACTCAGATGTAAACGAAAGAATGAAATTGCGTTGCGAGAATGTTGGCTGGTACGTTAACGTGCAGTTATGGAATCAGCTATAGTCGGTTTTGTATCAACTTGTGATGTTTTTAACTGTCTTTCTCCGCTGAATGTACAAAATGAAATTCTGCTGCTATCAAGAGTCTTCTGTTATTCATAGCTAGTTTGTTTGTTGGGTTTTTGGTTGAGAAATACGTCGCCTGTCAAAGTCGGAAATCCGATTTCGGATGGCATCGTTTTCGTGTTTCACCTTGCTTGATGCGTAAGAGGGTTGAAAAGTCTGAAGCGATTCTGGCCTTACTTGATAGTTTTCAGAGCATCTCGAATGGTAAGCGTGGGTAATTATTGTATTTGATGTTTGTTTTTTATGTCTAATTTAATGAAGTCGGGCGTAGTTTATGCGGCTATTTAGTTTATGAGACAATCATCGATCTGACCGAGTATCAGATTTGATTATAGCGGAGCTCCACGCGCGCGCTTCGCGCGCGCGTGGGCGGAGCCCCATTGCTAAGTAAATCTACCCATCCCAGAAAATTTGGTAATCACGTGACCGTACACCGACCGACCGCCCGCCGTCCGTCCGCACCACAAGACAACCAATGTTTACTCTCACACTTTTAGCTAGTTTAGGAGCCCAAGAGAAAACTAATTGCACAGGCTGCACATCAATGTTGTGATCAATTGACAGCTATCAAAACAGGGCATCCGCTGACAAGTATCACCTGATCGTACCGCGGGCTCAAGTGTCGACCCATCGAGGTCGAGTATTTTTTAAAGTTATCCGCTGACAAATTACCAGTTTCAAATGATCGCAGGCTCAAGTTTATTTTTTCCAAGGATTCATATCAAATATGTTGTGTTTATGTCACCATGGCCCCGCACTATTAGGATTTTGATTTCAAACTGACCTCGGAAGCGAAAATTCATCCAGTTTTTTTAAAAGTACAGGCGGGGAAGACCTTATCTTACCATGGTCACGCGTTGGTCACGCTCTACGTCCAATTTTTATACTCTGATTGGTCAAAATTTGACAGGTGAGTTTATGCGGAAAAAATTATGCAGCATCTTGAAAGTAGTTTACTTTGACAGCTGAAGCTGACAGAGTTTTGTGTCAACTTGTGATGTTTTTAACTGTCTTTTTCCTCTGGAGGCACAAAATGAAATACAGCTGCTATCAAGAGTCTTCTGTTATTCATGGCTGGTTTGTTTACTGGGTTTTGGTTGAGAAATGCGTTGCTTGTCAAAATTCGGTAATTCGATTTCGGATGGCATCGTTTTCGTTTTTCACCTTGCTTAATGCGTAAGAGGGTTTAAAAGTCTCAAGCAACTGTGACCTCCCTTGATAGCTTTCAGGAACGGAATCTCGAATGGTAAGCCTAAGTAATTATTGTATTTGATGTTTGTGTTTCATGAAGTCTTGCACAGTTCACGCTGACAGTTTATGCACGTTTGCAGGATTTGAGTCAATGATCTGACCTAGTATCAGGTTTGATATAAGCTTACAGAACTTTAAAAAGCCTTCAGATATATTTGCTTACCACAAATAGAAAGAAAGCGTTCCGAAGGATATTTAGTTATAAATTTGGCTGTAGAAAGAAAACTTTGAGCGATTTTCTTGCTTCGAGGAGTTCACCTTCGAAAACAGTAAACACCGCGCTGGGAAGCCGGCTAAAACATAAACTTAAGCTTTACGCTTAAAGACTCAGGATTTTTAGAGACACTTTAATACTTGTCTTCGTGAATGAAAATTGTTGTCTCTGTAAATGTTTCACGGAATAATATCTCTTTTTTGATTGTTAGTAGTCTCTCTTGCAATTTTAATCGCTTGTCCGTGCCGTTTGTTTTCATCGTTCATGACCATCGCTTGTAGGAGTACTCAAAAATGTCGCGCTTCGCTTTTAGCCCTGGCTAAATCTATATATTAATGATAATAAAGCGATCTACAATTAGATTCGAAAATGTATCTGAAAATTAAAGTCCCCCACTGTCTGTCTTTTCATTGGCTAAGAGTCTACATCTCTAATTTTGGAAATCGGCGCAACCTAAAGATAAGTTAGTTGTCTCAGTGCTGGCAGATGACTGAATTGACGTCTGTAAACATCGTGTAAACGTATTGACATTCCACATAATAATCTTGAGTACACCGAGAAAACCGCATGTGCTTAATTGTTAGGGCAAGCGTTCTGTCAATTCTAACTGAGTTCAGTTCAGTGGAACAGTCACTAAAGAATCACTAACGCAAACAAGGATCTGCCGCCTAACTAAAGAACTTCACAAACTAGTGAATCAGCTGTCCCAATAGCTTTTTCCTTCGCCTGAGTGCCTTCCTCAAACGGTTAGCCTTAACTAATTAAATAATGTTGAACTTTCTTAACAGTTACTTTCGAAGAAGGGAAAACAGTTTTGATTTCGACTATCTGCGATTTATTATTATCGACAGATACATGTAATTAGCCTCGTCCAGGGCTTTCCCTGGGCGCGGTGAAAAGCCCTGGGGGTGAGAGGTTGATACGTACTATGTGAATTACATTTTTCATATACTTGAAGCCTGAAAAAGGTACTCCTTTCGGCCGGAACCTTTCCGCATAAGCCATTAAAGGATGTACCCCCGAAACACCGGGTGTCCCCCCATATATGTGCGTTACGACGAGTCATCAGGACAATTGTAGCTTGAAACGACAAGTACGACTCTTGGGCGAGCTGAATAAGAGTAAAATTTGTTTTCTCTTTAATAGAGTATTCGGCTGTGAATAGGAATTTGCCACTGATATCGCCGCATATAAAAACTATGTTTAAAATGATTTACGGAAACAAGTTGCAGTATACTGTATCCACGGGACCTACGGATGGGTGGCGCAGATGGTTGAAGGCAATGGACCGACTATAATGCTTGTTCTAAGTCCCGCCTCCGCGCACCCTTTATAAGACTATAACAGACTTGCGCTTTGAGTCAGTTCAGACATTCGGAATGTTAGTTGACTTGGCCCTCTTCTAAGGTTTCTCTTTGCGGGTTCGCCAGTTTTTTCCTCTCCTTGATACAAAAAAGCACGATACGTACCGGAATGAATTCGCGCCAAAACTGATTTATCTAAAGAGACACTTCAGTGTGACTTTTTAATCTCGCCAAAGAGTTGATCTATACTGAATGATTATTTTTAGAAACCGTTTTGGCTGTTATTGGTTCTCGGCTCCGATCTGAAGGTTTTTTCCCAGGTTTTGTGATTTATTCACTCGACATAAACCTGCTTTTGAAAAGACTCAGCTTCGGACCTTCACATGTTTTATGTGCTAACCGTGGTTTGTAAAACCGTTAAGTCGATCTCAGTTAAATTATGATAATACTGTAGAAATAAAAGTGATCTCCCAGAGAGTGGGAAAGAATTCTTTAAAAAGAAACTTTGTACTTTTAGTGACTGTCCTGGCAAGTGTATTAGATCCTTAGGCGTAGATCTTAAAAGTTAAATGAGTGTCTCTCATGAGTAATAACAGAATTACTTTGCTCTTTTGCTGTAGTAGTAGTCGTAGCATGCATAATCAGTTTGAATTGTCATTAAATCAATTGAAAAGCAAAGTAGCCATGTTTACTTTGAGAAACCCGCAAAATTTTAGCTTATTCTGGCATGTAATAAATGGAACAAATTTGAAGAGTTATAAAACTAACTTGACTTATTTTGATTAACTACCTTTCTTTTTCGGTTGTTTTCTTAAAATTTAATGGCGATGGCGTATTTATTTTATGATAGAAGCTCGTAACAGTTCACACTCTTACTTCCGCTTGGAGACAGGATCTACTAAGCAGTGTGATACTCAAGGATCTTGACATTGCTCCCTTTGACTTCCGCGGCACAATTTTGCTACGTTTCAAACGAGAATAAATTCTCGATTCTTATCAGTGTTTCACCCTCTGATTTCGACGTGACTTACACTTGATAATAATTTTCTTTAAAGTGCGCTGTCCGAGGCAGTACTGTAAAAAAGAGAAGACGCTCATACGCTATTTGCGATCGATAAAATTATCCGCTGTCGGTACGTATCGTACAGGGATGCGTTTACAGGCTCTAAAGCTGGCGATGGTCTGTGCTATTGCTGCTCACATATCCGCCAAGTATGAAACTCGGGCACCTGAAGGACGAGTCGCAAATCCAAACCCCAATCGAGTATCTGCTGATGAAGCTGAAATACGCGAAAAACGCTCGTTGTTGAGCCGAGGACGAAAAGCAATAAAGAAAAACGCGACTTTCAACTTGTCGGACATCGAAAAACGACTGAGAGACGTAGAGGAAAGGTACGTTTTTTTTTCTTCACTGAAAAATCCTTACTCTATTCAGCTCAGGAAACTGCTATGAAAAACCCGAAGGTAACTCGAATTAAAGTTTTCTAGTTGCAGCCTATCCTCCCCTTTTTATTCATTGTGGTTTGCAAGAAGACGAAATTTTCAAATTGTTTATCCTGCGACATTAGGAAAGGAAATTACAAAGAAACCAATAGATCTATAGCCAATGTGAATCGAGTTTATCAAGAGAATTTTCTCGCAGTACGTATATAGCAGCCAATATTTCAAGCGTAGAAATGCACATTAAAACAAACCAGGATAATTGACAACGACTTTAAAAACCTGTAACAGTAATCTCAATGACGGTTTTCGTCAGTACTCAATGGAGTGGTGCTCCTTTGTTTATGAGAGCGGTGTACTGCATAACAGGTTTTTCGGTTGAGAATCCTTCAGTCAAATGCAAAAACATTTAATTCAGAAAATTTCCTTGTCTTGTGCAAACGGCATCTTTTGGTTTTAACTTTAACCTTAAACTGAGCCTATCAGCTCACTAATATTTTTTAATCCCGGAGACAGCCTTCCTTATGAAACTCTATATAATTGCTGTGAAACCGTCCAAACGTGGAAATCGACGCATTTAAATTTTGTGGAGGTAGAGGGTAACTAACCTCGTTTGAAGACATATTGAATCATGTTGAATATTTTTATAACATTGCTAGCTCTTTAAGGTCCAAGTTTGAGAAAACGTCATCTTGCATCAGTAAGCTTTTAGCAGCTGGAACAGGCAAATTTACTCAAGTGAATGGGAAACCATATTTCACTTAATTTTGCGAGAATATATCTTATTTACCCAAGGCAAAAACGTTGTCACCCAAGCATAATAACTCGATCAGCACAACTCTGTTCAAGAGATTTACTCACTGCAAATGAATTAATTAAAGTCGACCAAAAGTTAGTGTCAGAATTGGTACAAAACATTATCAGCTGAGCCAGAAATTTGTTATGTCACCCTAATTATTGGTCGTCATCTTTCTGCAGGCTTGATGTTTTACTGCGCATGCGTCCTCGACCAAAGGCATCGTACGGGCTACTGGCCTACCGTTCTTGGTTTGTACTCTAATTCAGTAGAGTTCTCTAACTTGTAAAAACAATGATATTGTCCTCTTACGCTGAATAATTAAGTCTGGCAATTTCAAAAGCGAGACTGATTTGTGTTCTTGATCAATGAAAAAGGAACCTTCAGACGTTTATAGGTCAGAGCTATTTGCTGCTCTATAATTATCTGATTTACGTTTACTGAGAAATACATAAGAAAGATAAGCCGTGATAGAATAAAGGGCATTATAAACACAGCGTATTTCATCCTTTTACTCTGATCATTACATTTGGCAATGTACAGTATAAAAACCTGGGGGTAAGTACCTGGTTTTTAAGAACCCGTTTGGCTAGAATTTGCCAGTGTCATATAGGCCCCTTCTATGCAATAACCTGTTTAGCTTAAAATTTGAAGCAGGTTCATATTATGTTCTGAAAGAGGACTCAAAATTCATGTAGTCGGTGCTTCAGTTCTTCTTCTGGTGATTTTTACATAATACTTATTTGGTAAGCAGATTATTTTTTATACAAGGAATAAGCTGAATCCTAGTAAATACTCTTAGCTATAATGCTTTTTTTTTTCAGAAAATAAGAACCTAAACAGCCTAAATTTATTTTTTTGTGCTAATTACCATTTATATAAGAAGCTGAGTTGGGCTAACTTGGGAAAATTCAAGTTGTTACTCGAGAGTTTTAACTGCTGACTTTTACCTTTAGTTTAAGATATATAACTGAAAACAGTTATTTCTTTTATATTATTTGAGCCACTGAAGTTGAGAATTGTTGTCTCATAAACTGGCAGACGATCCTCTCCACCAAAAGAAATGGCAGACGTTAGGCTATATCAAATACTTAACCTTTTTCGTGATGCGATTATTCTCAAAAGTGCAACAAAAAAATAGCTTCACATAATGTTGAACATATATTGTAGAACATTAGTGATTGCTGTAGCCGGACACTCTACTTGAATTAGAGCCAATTAAAGAGAAAATTGCCAACAACTCTACACAATCAGTGGGTAGATTGGTTCCATTTGTTGATGATATAGTCGTGTACTTGTTTTAGGACAGCATATGCAAAATACTGGAAAGGGAAGAGCTGGACCACCCGGCCCTCCTGGAAAACAAGGATCACCTGGACCGAAAGGTACAATTAATTGAGACCATTCGTACGATGACCTAAAGAAAGTGGCGATAAAATAATTTTTCCCTTCATTGATAGCCAGGAAGAATGAGAGAAAAAAGGGATCGTATACTCGAGATCTAATCTAAGTCATTCAAAACAGCCACTTACTTCAAGGTGAACCATGAAAACAACTAACCGTTTTTAAGAGTTCGCGTCTTTCCTACACACGTAATTTAAGTAAATAAGGTTAAGAGTAAAACCACTATGATAATGAAAAACGGTTTGTTTTACTTGTCATTTCCTTATCATGAAAAGAAGAATTCTGCTACTTAAATTTTTTTGTTTCATTCGCTTCATGTAAGGGAATCTAAGAGAGTCTTGCATTCTGGAATCCAGATTCCAGCTATGGATTCCGGGTTCTTTGTCAGAGGCACCTGGATTCCAAATTCCAATTTCCTGAGCTGTACTCTGGATTCCAAAGCCCAGGATTCCACATTTCATTGGCAAAAATTTCGCGGATTCCGGAATTTCGATTCCTTTCCATGGGACAAATTTCATGATTTCTTCCTTTCTTTATTAAGCAATTTGAAAACAAACATTCAACCGCCTCCTGAGGACGTGATCGGAAATCAAATGTAAGTGGTAATTCATAAAGCCAAATAAAGCTCATAATGAGCTCGATGAATCACATAGCTGTGCTGCTTTGAAGAGCAGAAAATTACTCTTAAATACTTAAATAACCCGTTAAGGGCTAAGGGTCATTTTTAACTGTCGCAGGCGATCCGGGAAAACCTGGAACCAACAAAACATCCCCAGGCCCTCCTGGTCCTAAAGGAGACCAGGGAGCAGCTGGGAAGACTGGAGCCCAGGGACCACAGGGTGCCAAAGGAGAAAAAGGACAGGGTGGAGCTGGGATTTGAGGGGTGAAGTACATTCGCTGGGGAAGGACTGCGTGTCCTAGTGGCGCTCAGGTAGTTTACAAAGGTAAGAGAATGAGAACAATTTTATAAATCGTGAATAATTACTCTAATAATAAGAACTCTAAAAACTCTAAGTACAATTTTTCTAAATTAAACCCGCATAATATGGACACTTTCCAGGCCCTCTTCAGTCTCAGTAGTAACGGGGTTTGACTGTAATCTAGTCAGCTCCTATCAAAAATCTTTTTATGGTCTTAAATTAATTTCTTGTTTACATCAGGTATAATGGGTGGAGAATACTACAATAACCCTGGTGGTGGAGCGAGCTACCTTTGCCTTCCACACAATCCAAAATATGACAAGTACAAAGACCGCCATCAGGCCGTTGGATACGTGTGCGGCACTGAATATAAAGTGAATGATTACAACGGAGACCCTTTTAAGAGAATTCTTCACAACCATGATGCACCCTGCGTCGTTTGCTTCGTCAACCCGGCACGTGGTTCAATGCTGATGATGCCAGCTAGGAATGATTGCCCATCTGGGTGGATCAAGGAGTATCATGGGTACCTGATGACTGCTTATCATGACCACAAGCATTCAAGCGACTTCATTTGTGTTGATGGGGATCCGGAGTATGTCCCTGGTAGCCATGCCAACAAAAACGGTGCCTTGCAGTACGCTGTGGAAGGAGATTGCGGCTCACTCCCACGTCTTCCTTATGTCGGCGGTCGAGAATTGACATGCGCTGTGTGTACCAAGTGATGAGTAGTGGCTACCAGTGCTACTAATGAGCTACAAAAGATATTAAATGGTGATTTGATTTAGATCTCATAATTTGCCTTTAAAAACAATACCTATATAAACCTGTTGTAACTTAACACGAACTGTAAGTAAAAAGAATAAACATATGATGTGATCATTCATAAACATCATGATTTGCTAGCTTACTTCGCGTAGCCCTTTTGACCTCGTTTACAATTGAAGGGGATTCTTTTTAAATGCTTTTCATCGACACCCAGAAAAAATCATCCAGCTAAAGATAAGAACATCCACGAAGGCATACTTGTTTAATGTATTCAAAACAGTCGCTATAATTAGGGCGCTAGAAGCTCAACGCCCGCCATTTCCATTTGCAGATATAGTGCGGTAACTTAAAGTGAGTTTTCCACTTAAATGCGTCCGATAAGCCTGAAAATCACCCTAAGGAAGATCAAGGAGATTAAAATAGAGATCGAGGAGATAGAAATGAGGGAGTCAGGGACGGCAGAGCCGGGGAGTTGAGGGGGCTTAGCTCCCCCCCCTTCCCTCTGGAAAAGTTTTTTTTTTTGGTAACTTTCAATGAATAGCACTACTTCCGTTAACGTTAATTCGATTGATACTCACTAGTTATTCGAGAACTCAAGTAAAATACATTAAGGTATTCACTAGATGAAACGAAGCAGTAGAAGTACCTGTCATTTTACACGTTATCCAGATTGAGTTTTTTTAAATGATATATCTCATGGAGAATGTTGAAAATTCCATTTCCGAGCCTCTAAATTTGAAAAATTTCTGGGGGTGATATGCCACCGTTTTCAAGCACCCAGCCCCACCGCGTCAGTTAAAAATACACTTCACCGTCCTTGGGAAGAAGAAAAAAAAGCCATTGATGCACTGATAAGTTATGAAGGACGTTTGAGCTCTATTTTAGCGCATTCATCTTTTCATAAATCTTGACAAATCTAGTGTAGTAGTAATGAGAGAGAAGGGTCTGAAAGCGAGATTATGAAAAACAATCTTAACAGTAAATCTGCATTAACAGCTGGCCTTAATCTTTGGATAACTAAAAATTTACATTGATAATCAGGTCAGTTGGTAACTGGTAAAAATATCATGTTTGAAACGTAGCCAGCGTACATCAGTTTTGTTTGGCAGTGAAGTCATTCGGAATTCGGTACCACAGTCTTGTCTCAGTCGTCCTTGGAAGCGAGTTGGGATGTGACGTCACCCGTCAAGCTCGGTCAGGAGAATTTCGGTTCCAAGCCTCCTCCGCTCACTCGTTAGAATTTGCCTGAGCCCCATGCTACTCGTAAGGGGAAAAAGGTATGGAGCTAGTTGTGTAGATATAATGATCAGTAAATGACAAGTAAAATGGAAACTTCATCACGTGGTACCTATTTTGTAAACACGATTCTAAATCTCTCTGTTACCGAAGAAACCGGAAATCTGGTGGTGATTTCTCTTAAAAGAAAACGATGAATGTAAACCTCAGTAAATCAACCTTTAAAGATTTGCGGGGATGATCTTTAGGTAAATGCCGCTTAGAGAATTAACAATTGAATTGGCGACAAAGAAGTAATTATCCCTCGAGGGCATAGATATCATTGCTTGCGAACGCTTCACGTGCTTTTTGTTTTAGTAACAAAATAGTTGATATCTTAGCTTGAGTCTTACCTAACTTTATATTAGTATTTACCCTCTTCCTCAAGAACTCATTGAGTGTATTTTAAACAACTACATTAGCTATCGAAACCTCAACTGAAAAAAGTTAGAAAGACTAAAAAGTCGATAATGAATTTCCACGATCTATGACAGTCTTATCGACCATGGAATGACGTGAATGAGTTTTAAAAACTCAAGTGGAGCCACGAGCAGCAGGCGAGTGGTTTCCCTGGAAAGAGAGAAAGAGAAAAACAAATTGCACTATCATCACCTCAGATCATTTCCATGCTCTATACTCTCTCGACCAGTCAGCGCTTAAAAAAAAAATGCTTGTTATCAGGTAAAAAAATTGTGTTTGGCGCTTTGTTAAACCAACAGAAGATATGACATTTCCATTTTACTTGGCTTTAGTTTGCTTTTAGGTTTATGAGGCATTATACCTGATTGTTTGTTTGTTTGTTTGTTTGGCGTTTGTCACTATTTTGTTGTAACCAGGATAATCGCATTTTGATGTAAATACGACCCTGCGAGCGGTGATTTCTTTTCGACTTGGTTTTTAGGAATTCATGTGCTAAGTCGTTTTCGTCGCTGAATGAGGGTACGATTTTAAGAGGTTAACAAAAAAAACAAAGATAATCAAAAACTGATCTTGAATCATATCATTTGAAGGATAGAAATGATCAAACGAGAACATGCACTAGTACACAAACTAATTTACCACGCTCTACCGAGTTACAAACATCACGCAAAATGAAGCAAAGTTCATTAATCACTGCTTAATCCTTTAGAAATATCCTTCATGGTAGAAGCGGTTTTAAAGTGGGTCGCCGATGAAAAAGAAAGTAGACTTGATTATCCTCCAGGGATGTCAAATCTCTGAACACATTGTTCGTTCTTGGGAACCTGAAATCCTCCAAGCGTAAGCAATTACTCCATGTGCGGATATCTGCTTTTGTAAAGCCCCGTCAAACGGATGGAACATTGTTGGCCAACAACTCCCAACTTTGTTGGATGTTATATGTTGCGTCCATTTGCACACCGTGTTGTATGTTGTTGCACGTTGTTGCGTGCTGTTGGGAGTTGTTGCGCAAAGTTTGAAACCGGTCAAACTTTTAGCCACGTGCAAACGGACGCAACAATTCTTAACATTGTTGGGTAAACAAAGTTGGGACTTGTTGCGTCCAATAATTTGTACTTAGCTTAAGACCCGTCAAGGTTAATTGAGGACATTCAGTAATTTGACTTACTAGGCATTCACGTATACGTCTGAATTTAGTTTATTACTGTAGGAAGTAAATAAAAATCAACACATTCAAAGCGATTCTTTTTTCTTGTGGGTTTGTATGTGGCGCTTTTTTGCTTGAGACCTAGGACTGTGAACTATACTGTGTCTAAGTTATGATTTTTAACAGTCTTTATTATGAAACGGCGCAAGTATTTTATCAAAATACTACGTGCATCAGTAATCGTTCACTAATTTTTCGTCGTTATAATTTGTATTTGCGTGATTCACGCCAGGTATTCTGATTAAGCTCCAATCATGTGCATGAGGTGGTTTAAACATAAATTCCTAGTTGAACCAAGGCGGGAATTTCTTTGGAATCAATAATCCCCGAAAACAAACATCGATGACAAGGAAATTCCTTGCAGAGAAAATAAATGTAAGACAAGTTTGAGTTCCGTTGTATAGTTTTATAGGGCCAATAATTCTACAAAAAATTCTACTTTTTCACCTGCAAAATCTCTCGTCACTTTCAGTGTGCCATTAAATTACAATTATAACAAAATAGATGTTTGTTATATGCGTTTACGTATAAGCACTGAATTCATTTTCCGCAATCCTGCACCTCTCACAATAAAAAGGACATCACGTAGGAGTGGGTTAGAGAAAAGCAACAGAAATCACTAGCTTGCGAGGCAGGAGCCACTTAGCTTTTTGGTTAGTTTTAACAGAGCACGTGAGAGGAACAAGCGAAGAGGAGAGTAAGCCTCCTCTCCTTTTAGAATCACCCTTTGTGTGGGCGTGTCCTCGAAATTTGTCTCTTCGCCTTGAAAAATATCAGCTCATAGTTAGTGAGAGAGAGTGATAATGAAAGCCTGAAAACATCAAAGATGAAAACAATGTTACAGCGTTTTGTGTCGGGAGCTCACGGACCGTGCCGGCACAGTCCACTGAATTTTGTTCACAAATTGTGGTTGAATGCTGAGATGAACAAGAAATTTCTGTTGGTCAGTACTGTTTCAAAATAATATAATTTAATGCTATTAAAATTCCAAAAAAGCAAAAAACAACCAGAGGAACAACAAACACAATGTTTATTTGTGCTCAGGAAACAAAACTACTAAGAGAAAAAAGGCAAAGTAGTCTAAAATTTAGTTCTTGCCGATAAGAACTGAACACAGCTACGGGTTAGAATAGGAATAATGCTAATCTCGCTGCATAAACATTTTAGAGAGCTTTAGCAACTACGACAACGACCACAACGACGACTTCAAAAAAACAATAGTTTTAATGATCAAAACAACAGCTCTGCACGTGCATCACGCTTTTTAGTTCATTTCCTTGACGTCCACTGTACGATTACGACGTGAAATCTCCTAATTTGCCCTTTTATGGAGGACGTGAACAATACGGCGACTAGTTTTCCTTCCTGTTTTTGAAACTGAATAAAATCCTTAAGAATTCAACTCCAGGAAAATCGCCTGCATTTGACATTTTGAGCGGATCCAAATCCGGGGTCCAAATAGACGCGATTAAGTTTGAAAGAACGCAAATTCATTTTTTTTACCGACGTTTTCACTGCCGTTGTCGTCCGTTCTTGCTTAAGGTCCCTATTACTGAATGAGGTCCGACGGGGATAACTGTACTATTTAACTATACTCAGTCATACTCCAATATTAGCCTCCCACGTAGACGACGTTCTTAAGGCTTCGTTATGCGTTTCTTCTTTTCTTTTGAGGGGATTAGGAACGCGCAACGAAGCACAAAGAACGTTGGCGTCGCTCATGCTAAGACGATCTCTGCACGCAATGAGAAAGGCGTTGGCTTAACAGTACCATTAAATAACAAAAGAATAACAAAATGGCATATTTGCTAAATGCCTCTTTCTTTTAACCAACGTGAATTAATTTTCCGCAATTCTGCACCTCACCTAATATATAGGGAGAACATTACTTGTAAAGATCACTTAACAATAGCGCGGAAAGCAACGGGAAGAGGCTCTGGTCAATCTTATATAATTTGCAATGATGAAATTGTCCACCGTGGTTACATGCCGCACAGGGCTCCGTTTATTAGTCGTATTGCTGATGTTGTGTGCTAGTGTTTCTCACATTTCCGCCAAGGATGAAGCTCGGGTTGAAAGACGATTCGAAGATCCCGACCTCAATCGAGTGCCTGCTGATGAAGCTGAAATACGCGAAAAAATCCGCCCTTTTAGGTTGAACCAAGGACAGAAATCAGAAATCGAAAAAAGACTAAATGCATTAGAGAAAAGGTACGTTTTTTTCTGTTTCCTTGCTTACTGAATAGATCCTTGATCCAGGAGTCCTTGCCAAGGCTCCTGTTTTTCTTCGTCATGGTAAGTCAACTGGTAACAAAGTATCTCGAATGAAGGTTCTGATACGGTTAAATTGTTTAATTCTTTTTTTTTATCAGCGTTTGCAAGACGATCAAATTCTCTAATGATGGGTTACAGTTGATTGAGAGGAAATAAGTAAGCAGAAATTGGATGATTTTATCTCGACGTGAATCTATAATTTCCATGTCGAGTAACCTGCCGGTTCGACATCCGTGTCTTTTCAGTGTAATAAGAAATTGACTGAAGTATCACCTTTAAAGCAAACCATTCTCTCCCGATACTACTAATTTTCGCCCAAAAAGGTTGAAAGCTCTCGAAAAATATTTAACTGTTCGGAAAAGAGTTTTGTAAGACTTTGTTGACTTAGCAGCTGCAGATTTGCATTTAATTAGGTTTCGAGGTTGATGTCCTTTGTAAAAAAAAAAAACTTGTTGCCAACCAGCCAGCAGAACGAAGACGCGAGACGCTGGCCCGGAGGCGGTAGAGAATACTGCCGCACGAAGGTACACAACTCGTTTTACATAAGTTAATTCAGGCCAGGTGTAAATATTTTCACCTGCCTGGCTTAAAGAATGAGGACTATTCACCCCATATGTTATTTCTTGTTTACGCGCAAACCATACTTTAAGTGATCGAAATTGTTGTTCAACTTCACTTCTTGAGTTCGAATCGAAACGACTGGTTTCCGCACTAAGTTGTGTATGTGCCGAATGTGCAGAGTGTGTGAGTAGAACTACTACACGATCTCACACTATTTAACTTAACGTCGGTACGTCGGCAATGGGTATGTGGGTTTGTGATTGGAGCTTCTTTGCTTGAGACCTAGGACTGTTAAGGTTATGATTTTCAACAGAAGAAAGATCATCTTCATTATGAAACAGCCTGATAAGTGTTTTATCAAAATATTAAGCGCATTTTTATTTGCGTGATTTACGCCAGGTATTATTAAGCTATCAGTAAGTATGTGTGCACATGAGGTGGCTTAAACATTGAAAATCCTAATTGAACCGTGACGGGGATTTCTTTGGAATCAATAAACCCCGAAAACAAACATTCATGACAAGAAAATGCCTTTCAGAGAAAATAAATGTAAGACTAGTTTGACTTCCCTATAGCTTTATTTAGGACGGATAATTCTACAGAACTGTTCTATTTCGGTACCTGAAAAATCCCTTGTAACATTTCGCGTGCCATTAAATAACAATTACAACAAAACGAATGTTTGTTATATGCGTTTACGTATAAGCACTGAATTCATTTTCCACAATCCTGCACCTCACACAATAGTCAAGGACATCACGTAGGTGTGGGTTAGAGAACGCCAAAAGAAATCAATAGCCTGCGAGACAGGCGCCAGCTAGTCAGTTTTTCGGTTAGTTTTTAGGACAGTGCATGAAGGGAAGTTAAGAAACACGAGAAGGGGAGAGTAACGCTCCTCTCCTTTTCACCCTTCGTCTTGGCGTGTCCTCCACACTGACCGAGCACAGCCCCAGGGAATTTTGTTCTCAAATTGTGACCGAATACTGAGGTGAATAAGACATTTAGTTCAAAATAACACGATTTAATGCTATTGAAATTCTACAAAAACAAACAACAACCAGAGGAACAACAAACAAAATGTTTATTTGTGCTCAAGATACAAGAGATAGTTTAACATTTTAAAAGTTCTTGCCGATAACGACTGAGCACAGCCACATGTTAGAATAAGGAGTGATGCTAATCTCGATGCAGAAACATATAACTGAATGAGGTCCGACGGGGATAACTGCATCATTTAACTATGCTCAGTCATACTCCAACATTAGCCTCCCACGCAGACGTTCCTAAAGATTCGATATGCGTTTCTTCCTTTCTTTTGAGGGGATTAGGAACGCGCAACGAAGCACAAAGAGCGTCGGCTTCAGTCATGCTAAGACGATCTCTGCACGCAATGAGAAAGGTGTTGGCCGAACAGTACCATCAAATAACAAAAGGATAACAAAATGACTCTTTCTTTTAAGCATCGTGAATTATTTTTCCGCAATACTGCGGCTCACCTAATGTAATGGGGAGAACATTACTTAGACGTGAGTTAACAACAGCGGAAAGAAGCGAGTAGCTCATGATCTCAGTACTGATGAAATTGTCCACTGTGATGTCATATTGCACAGGGTTCCCTTTATTAGCCGTATTGGCGATGTTGTGTGCAACTATTTCTCACATTTACGCCAGGGATGAAACATGGAAGGAAGAACGATTCAAAGATCCCAACCCCGATCGAGTATCTGCTGATGAAATTCGCGAAAAAAACCGGCCTATTTTGAATAATGTAGGACTGAAATTAGAAATCGAAAAAAGACTAAGCGCATTAGAGAAAAGGTACGCCTTTTTCTGTTTCCTCGCTTACTGAATAGATCCTTGACTCAGAGTCCTTGCCAAGGTTCCTGTTCTTCTTGGTTGTGGTAAGTCAACTGGTAACAAAATGCAAAGTAACTGTAATGAAAGTTTTCTACAGTTAAATTGTTTAATTTTTCCTTTTTTATCAACTGTTTGCAAGACGAGAAAATTCTATACTGACTGGCTACAAATGATATAGAGGGACGTAAGTAAGTAGAAATAAGACGATTTTATTCCTCAAGTGAATCTATAATTTGCATGTTGAGTAACCTGCCGGTTCGACATGCCTTTTCAGTGTAAAACGAAATTTAATGCAAACCATTCTCTCCTCAGTGATACTACTAATTTTTGCCCAAAATGTTTGAAAACTCTCGAAAACTATTTACTAACTCTTTAATAAGACTGTGCTGACTAAGAAATAAAGTTATTGTCAATGAGCAGCTGAGCGGAGACGAGAGGCTGACGAAGCGGCAGAGAATACTGCCGCATGAAGGCTTACAAGTCGTTTTGATACAAGTTTATTCAGTCGAGGTGTAAATAGTTTCACATACTTGGCTTAGAGAACGAGGAATATTCACCCCATAGGTTATTTTTTCTTGCGCGTCTAGTATACTTGAAGTGATCGAAATTGTTGTGCATTGTCACTTCTTGAGTTCGAGTTGAAACAAACTGTTTCCACAAGAAGTAGTGTATGTGTAGAAAGTGTAAGCAGAACTACCACATGATCGACACACTTTTGAAGCAAGGTAGGTCAACAAAAAATGGGTGTGACGAAAACAAGGACAGGGACCGGGCCCTGGGTGTATTATTGTTCTTTTCTTTTGTCGTTTTCCTTAACCACAACATTAAATTTTAGAAATAATAATAAAGAAAGAACAATGGACCCCGATCCTGACCCAGTCCCCGTGTTTTCATTTACTCCCTCCCGATCGAGCTTCAGGAGTGTAAGATCGTGTAGTTTAACCTCCCTTACTATTTTTTAGAACAAACTGCAAAGAGAGAATAGATCCAAGACAGGAGTAAATTTGCCGAGTCGTCAGCGGTGCGAATGAATACGATCATGTAACACCCCTCTTAAAAAGCCTGTCTTGGTTGCCTGTTAAGGACCAACTGTACTATCGCCATGCTATTATAGCCTTCAAATGCATGACCGGTTATGCCCCTGGATATCTTGCATCCCAATTTATTACCCGTGAGCAAGTTAGCGAACGAACAACTCGGAGTAGCCAAAAGCTAGACATCCCTCTTTTCAGAACTGCCTCCGGACAGAGAACCTTTTATTACAGGACTGTTAAACTTTGGAACAAAGTGAACAATGTGGAATCTTTTGTTAAGTTAAGCCCATCTGTTGAAATTTTTAAACGTTCCTTAAGGAGCCAGCTTTTAGATAATTTTGTAAATACTTCTTAGTTAAGTTTAAAACATTGTAATTAGTAATTTGCTAACGTTGTAATTAGTATTAGATTAAGTGATGTAATTAGTTATTATAAATAATGTAATATAATCATTGTTCCCGAAAAGCTCCTTTGAGGAAGTAACAATGAAGTATGTATGCATGTATGTATAATAATAATAGTATTATTATAATATATATTATTTTTAACACCTTTGTTCACTATCTTTCCTGCAGGCTTAAGGCTCTACCAGGAGAATTACACGACTCAGTCTTAGCCTCCCTCCTAGGTTGGTATTCTAATTAGGTGCGGTTTAAAACGCCACATTTTACATGTGCCGAATCTAAATGTAAATGACCGAGTCAGAACATTTTTACGGTTTTCCTCATTAGCATTAAATTCTAAACATGTGAAGTCAAGGTGACGCTTATTTCGAACCGAGCCTAAAGATTATTTACTAAAAACAATGGAAAACAATACCTTGCAAATTTGTAATATTCCACTGTACGTATCGGATATTTGATACTGGTTTCTGCCTCTGGTTCATTGATACACACTGAAAGAACTTTTTAAGAAGCTTCTAGAGTTTGATTCTAGGATTTTTATTTTTATTTTTCAGTTTTTCAATAATTAAGAAATAATTAATTATCTTGTTAGCGATAAAAGAACTAAAAGAACTATGCCATGAAAAGACAGCCGAGAAGTTTCTTAAAAACAGGTATGACAAGAGGGGATTAAGGATTAAGAGCTGAAATCCTCATAGAGGCGTTATCTAATGCTCTCTTGCTCATGGCCAGTATATATGCTTCCAATTATTTTCAGTAACAAAGTTAGCTGGTGTTTTACACAATTTTTAAAAATGCTATTTCTCAAGAGTTTTTGGAAATATTTGTTGATTTTATTTTTTAAAAAATCGTTTAGATATCACTGTTATATATATCCCTTCTATCTCATATTTAAAAATAAAAAGAAAATTTGGTGCCAAATATGCAGCGTCAAAAAAAAAAAAAAAAAAAAAAAACGGCCATGATCCAGAAAAGTAAAACATCAACTTTAAGTTTTGGCGACTGTTAGACTGTAAAAAATTTTCCTTAGGGCAATCCAATTGAGACAAATTACTACTGATTAAATTCTTATCGATTTTGTCACTAAGAATGTGACTCATCATTATATCAACAAACATCCAACTGCAGCATCTAGCTGATCTCAAGCCACAAAACTGTTGTTCCGCCAAATGTAAGAGAATCCAAGACAGTCTTGGATTCTGGATTCCACGCCGTGGAATTTGTATTCTAGGTACTGGATTCTAGTCTTTGTCAGTGAAACCTGGATTCTGGATTCCAATTGTTAGTGGGATTTCGGATTCCTTGAGCTGTATTCCGGTTTCCAAAGCCCAGGATTCCGTATTCCACAAGCGAAAATTTCTCAGATTCCAGATTCCCTTGTTGCACTAGTCAGAAAATTCCCAATTAAGTTACTAAGTGCTCAGGGTCAATTTTCACTATTGTAGAAGACCCAGGAAAAGAGGACGAAGGAGCAGCTTGGAAGACAGGAGAATCTGGACCCAAAGGAGCAAAAAGAGGAATCACGCAGGACGAACCTAGGACATCAGGGGTGAACTACATTCGCTGGGGAAGGACCACATGTCCTAGTGGCGCTCAGATGGTTTATAAAGGTGAAGGAGTGAGCAAAAGTTCACAACAACTTACTTATTAAAGACGTTGCCATAACAATATTATATTTTTTCTTACAACGAAACAAGCGAGCGAACTTTGTTTTCCATGCTTTGATTGAACAATATACATCTGTCTGGATTTGAAAAATGTAGCACCAGAATTATTTATACTTTACCATTTTTTATATAATATTTTCAGTGCAAAAATCCTCTAATGACAAGCTGCAGTAGACATAAAATCATGTGTTTATGATTTTCTAAATTTGTTACAGGGATGCATAGGCCTAATTTCTGTGCTTTTCAAATGTTGTCAATTCCATTGCTAAAATCTGTCACTTCTTTTGCAATTAAGAGGAACTTGTAGTTAAGTTACCGTCTTCAGTACTAACTAGCGACTTTTATCTGTTTAATTAAAATCTCCTCTAGTCCCTTAACACCTAACGACCACCTGATACCCAGGCTAAGGTCAAATTGTTAAAAAAATTAACGCACTATTTTTTAATGTAAATTTCTGAATGTATTGTTCTACAAATCCAGACATTATATTAATTGTGTATTACACAAATCCAACTTATTATGACTTTTAAACTCCCGAAATAATGCCACTAGGGACCTTGAAATGGCTGGCTATCTTTAGTTCGCGAGATCTTACAAATCGTTCTTTCAGCGAGTCATATTGGCTTGTTTGCTATGTTTGCAAGTCTAGTAATTTCTTCATTTTGTCTTGAAACGCACACGTGAATTTGACTTCAATTTTGCCTATGAAAAAAACAAAAAAAAAATTGGTAAAGTATTTGGTTATGCCATAACAGAAGACGTGAATACGGTCTGTCACGGATTTAGAGTTGCTCTTCTGTGATGAGGCAGAATTAGTATTTATGAGGTCTAAGAAATGTGTGTACATTTTATTTCGTTACTTTTCGATAATTTACTTTTTGTACTTTTAGGTCAAATGGGTGGAGCCTATTTCAGCCACCCGGGTGGTGGGGTGAACTACCTTTGCCTTCCAGAAGATCCCAAGTATGACAAGTACACAGGTAGCAGTAACGGAGTAACATACCTTTACGGCACTGAATATCAGGTATCAAGTACCCACCTTTTTGGTAAAAGGCTCCTAGATTATGATGCACCATGCGTTGTCTGCTTCGTCAAGTCACGTGGTTCAATGCTGATGGTGCCTGCTAAGAATGACTGTCCTTCTGGATGGACCGAGGAGTACCATGGGTACCTGATGACTAATCTTTTTAATTACCAGCATTCAAACGACTTCATCTGTGTCGACGGGGATCCGGAGTATGTGGCCGGTAGCCAAAGTAACAGGGAGGGTGCCTTGCTGTACCCAGTGCAAGTCGCTTGTGGTGGCTCATCGCTCCCGTGCCCACCTTATATCAGCGGTCGAGAACTGACATGCGCTGTGTGCACCAAGTGACGGGGAAACGTAGCAGCTACCGATGAACTGATTTAACTGTCATAATCCGCGCTTAAGTGTGTAAGCAAAACCTAAAAAGATTCTGAAAAAAGCCCAATTGTAACTTAACATGATCCGTAAGTAAAACTGCAATAAAAATAAAATGAAATTTGTGTTTTAAAAAAAAAACCTATGGGTAAAAAAAGCACATTTGTAACCCGCCATGAGCTGAATAAAGTGGGATCATGTATTCCTTAAAAGAGCTCTTAATCCTTTTGTCATTATAGTTAAAGAGAAGGGTTTCAAAACGCGTTCACCGTACCCTTATACGCAGCAAGTCAGAAACTATCTAGCCATTGATAGATTTTTTGAGAAAACAATCAGCCACTTTAGTCTGCAGTCTAGCGGCGTCTTCCATTTTCGTTTACTTTGATTACCCTCCTGAGCTGATTAGTACTTTTTCTTCCCGCAAAATCAATTTTTACAATAACTGAGCGAATCCTCGCGCGCTGATTGGTCGAGAGCTATGGTCTATGAGAGTATAGACCATGGAAATGACGTAACATGTCACGTGGTGCCGGTTGCTTTTGTTTTTGGTTTTTCGTAAAAAAAATAAATGTCATTGTAAAAAACAAATCGACCACAATTTTCTATGGTCTACACTCTTATAGACCATAGAAATGACGCTATAAAATGTTTTAAACTTTGCAGTGAAACCACTCGCCTGCGGCTCGTGGTTCCACTTGAGTTTGGTCTATAAGAGTGTAGACCATGGGAAATTGTGGTCGATTTGTTTTTTACAATAACGACTTATTTCTCGCGCGCTGATTGGCTAATTGTTATGATCAATAAGAGAACAGACATGCAGCGGACAGACACATAAAACTTTAATTTGCGCAAGACGCGGTCATTTGCAGAACGCCGAATGCCAAACTTCGATGTTTTTCTTTAGTTTAAAAGATTCACTTTCTGTCTACTAAGAAAAATAGCCAGATAGCTCTGACGCAAGTCTTGCATGCTGTTTGGATTCTCTACAAATAGCTCAAGCAGAGGAAACTGAACAAAAACGCGTAGTTTCGAAAAGCGGAGACCACTCGCTAGAAATTGGGACCAATGGATTTGTTATTGTCCATTTGAGATATGTATGAATCAACTTCAACTGAAGTAACAAGGAAGAGAAACATTGAGTCAGGAAAATTGCCCTTCAGAAAAGAGGTTGGACAACAGTTCCCACACGGAATGTTTTTGTCAGTGTTTTTACCCACATTAACAAAGAAATTATTAGAAATGTTGGCAATAGCACAGAGATTGTTAACAGTTTTTCCACTCTCTAGAATACTGGGAATGTAATCAGCTTTAGCTTTACTAATGTTGATGATTGATCTAATTCCAGACCAGATTTTTTCATATTATTCATATTATTCGGTCGAGAGTTGACATGTGCGGTGTGCACCAAGTAATGGGTGAATGCCCAGTAAATGCCTTTTACGGAGGCTTCCAATGAGCTACGTGAACAAAAGAAAAAGGATTTCATTAGTAAACTTACAATACCCTATAAAAATAACAACAACAGTACAACAAAAAAATAATAAGCTTCTTTATCTGGCACACAAGTAAAGCAAAGAGTTCGCTGTCAATTAATACGGGAGAAATAACAATAAAGAAATAATATATATTGATAGACAATTTATTTCTTTTCTTTGAATTCCGACCATTTTACTCTTAAATCCTTTTGAGACACCTTTTGGTGTTGGACTTCATTATGTTGAAAAAGAGGGCTTCATAATACAGTCCTTCAAGAGCCATAAAAGGACAGTGTCCTATTATGGCTCTTGAGTCTTTCTAATCGTGCAACGATATATAAGCTATACATTGAGAATACCGATAGAAACCAGCAACCACAGAACTGTTATGCAAGCTTATGCAGCCAAAGTGTTTTACGCTGTCATGGACCCACGATCCACAACTCTGATGGTCTGCCTAGTTGCGCAGCGCAAATCATCAGAGTGCGCATAAGCATTCCTTGCTTGTACAAGCCGGCAACGCGATTAATTAGTTAGAAAACAAACAATCGAGTTGCCACTGAGTTCAAAGTGGAACCTTTGGACCCTTACACTGCCGGACGAAAAAACAGCTGGCAAAATTGCAGAAAAGGCATGAATTTATCACTTAACTTTCAACCCTGTGGCCTATATTAAGAATAACGGTGCTCAGTCAATTTTCAACGTGCGCTAATAACGGTGCAAAACCGAATTATGCCGCCTTTATTTTTTCTAGGTTAGTAACTGAGCTGATACTGTCACCCATCTGCCCTCCTGCCCTGATTCTAATTTCAACCACTTCTCACTACCAACCGTATCCTTTGATTTTTACTGGCGAGAATCTCCTAGCTAATTGAATATCTTTATATTTTCCGTTACAGAATTAAATCTGTTTCTTTTTTGGCATTAAGAGGAATTAGTTGGAGCAAATTTACGCCTTGTAAGAAGAAACTGAATCCGGTTGATTAGTGTTGACATTTCTAGGCTTGTTAATCAGTTAATAACAGGGTGTTTATCCACCTGTTATGCCGGGTCACAGGTTACTCCAGGAAGTTTGAATCATCTCACCGTTTTTCCCGACAGTAAAATTGTGATTTGTTTCAACACTGGGTGACAATAGACAATGAAATCATCAGCTAATCCGCGTCTCAGCGAAAAAAGGCCTAGGTTTCGGAAAAGAAACACAGGAGGTTTTAAAGACTGTTATGAGCAATGGCTGTAAACGTTTTAAAAGCACTTCTCATCCTATTCTGTTTTACTGGTGACATAAGTTTTCTTCGAGCTGGTCCTTTGAGTAAGAGACACTTAAAAGGTAAGAGTTTTTTCACGCAGGCTACACCCTCGCTATTTTAAAATGTATAGCGCTTTTTGGAATCATTAAGTTGCTTTTACGAAAGAATAAGAGTTAAAAAGGCAAACCAGCGACGACCAACATCGTTTTCCCCCTTGCGAAGTAATGGCAACGAATCGGATGTCCAGTAAGCTCTGCTTTTAGTATTAGCTGGAGTGTCGACGTCTTTACTACATTGATAGTAAATATAATCATGAAAAATGTTCATAGAGAAAGAGCAGCAGACAGAGCGAACGCAAAGTTTAAGACAAGTTACTTGCCTGAAAACTGGTTGTTGTTTTAAGATTCATGCATGTGTTTTTTGTGTCATATGGTCTATTTGTTCTATTGAACAACTGACTGGTAGAACGGTTTTTGAAGACGTTTAGGTGTTGAATATGTAAATTCTGTGTCTTAACAAACAACAGTCGTTTTGTTGATTATACGTACTACTTCTTAGTCATGGTTCCGCTGTTTAAAGCACACACAATGTTGATCACACCTTTCATGTATGCGCATCCTTAGTTGATTCAGCTACGCCCTGTTTCATTCTTGATTGTAAGCTCGACCTATTATTGCCGTGGTCATTGGGTGAAAGACGGCTGATTAACTTCACCTTAACTGCAAACATCGCTTTAAAGAAAAACGTCTCGCCTTAGAGAGAGTCCCACTTAAAACTTGTGACGCGGTACCTTTTACACCGCCTGCGTCGGAAAGGGATCCCGGGGGGACGAGAAGACTGTTCGTAAGTACATAGTAAAGTTGAGGCGCGCGTCAAGAGCGTAGGAGCGCTTGCTGCTCAGGCTTAGCAAGTTCGTTGGAGTTATCGGCTTACGTTCGCACGAGAACAGTTGTGAACGGATATTCCGCAAACCTTCAGTCAGAGTAAACCTGACTTTGTACGAGTTTACGGTGTTACAAAGACTCACGTGGACTGTGGACTAAAAGAGCCTTCCACTATGTAGTCGATAAAACATGTCCTAATCATAGATCGTACATTGTTGGAGAATCTTTACGTTTTTTTTATGGATCCTAAAACCTCATTATCATCATCATTATTATGAAGAATAGTAATTATTAATGTATCTGTCTACTCTCAATCTATCTTCATTGGTTTCTTTACATGATAAAAACTTTTATTTTTCCTAGGTCACATTCGCGTTCGAAGAGGTTTCCGTTCATACTTCTACAATTACTTGGATGAAATTGCTATGGCAACGTGCGCAGCAATTCCCAGCAATGGACCAGGCCTTATATACGCCGTCAGACGGTAACTATGGTAACAAATCAACCCTTAGGTAGATCGTGTACCCATGACGTCACGGTGGCCATATTGGTGTATAAAAAAATGCAACAGCAGCCATGTTGGTGAACAGAAAAAAAATCCTGTAGAGATTGAACTCTTTTATATGTAAAAAAAATTCTTTTTTTGCAAGAAATTTTTATAGCTGCAGACCACGTGAGCACACAAAAACGATCTATAAGCCCTAAATCACTCATTTGGCTCCCTAAATTTCCTTTTTTTTAATCAGCCCAAGAAAGATTAATGGGACGGTGACATAAACACCCAGTCGCGCCCTAGAGATATGTGAATTTCACCAACGTTATTTTTAGACCAATTAAACACTTGAAATTAATTAGAAATTGGTTTCCGGAGAGGTCCGTAAACCTCTACTTAGTTTAGTCAAGAGGGAAAAGAATAATGAGACATTATGTTGTCTTGGTGTGTCGCCAGTACAATTTACTGTATTGTTTGCTTTAAGGAAATCGCGTGTGGACTTAAGAGTTTCAGACAACTGATTGAAATGTTCGGACGACCCGGAAATTAGACTGCCGTTTAATTACTAGACTGCAAAACAGTCCGTATTTTTGCGTATTCAAGTACGCGCGAGCAGTCAAACAAAAGGTCCGGAATGAGCCTGAAAACAGAGAGCGAGACTGGGGAGAGACGGTAAAAATAATTTTCCTCTCGCCTCACACGCTTCGCGCGCGTAAGACTCTTACGCCACACTTTACCGATTTCTTTACTGATTTTGAGAAAAAAACCGACTGTTTTAGAGTCTATTTAATTACAACGTCTAAAAATAACTTAAACGAAATTTACATATCCCGGCCAACACACCAAGATTCACTTTCTGTCCAATTTTTCTCTTTTGATCATTCTAACTTTCCATCTATTTCAGGACCTGTGGTGAAAAGGCAAACTGTAAAGACATTTGCACCGATCCTAAATTACGTCAGCAGGGGCCAAAGGAAGTACGAAAACTCACATGGGATTGCACGGAGTCTATTCACGTGTATAAAAGACAGCCATCGCTGGCTGACAATTATGATGAATATACTGATTCTCATAAGTTAGGCCTGGCTGTGTTTCGCCATCACTCATGTGCTATATCCAAATGTGGACCAAACTATTGTTGCTGCAGAGCAGTTGCTTTGTAAATTTCTTGCTGTTTCCCTTAAAATCATCCTCTGGAGTAGCTCCCATTAAAACGTGTTAATGAAATGTAGGGTCATGTAAGCAACACCGTGTGTCCACCCGCTCAACATTGGGCTCAACCTGAATCCAGAACATGGAGATTACTACACTTCGCCTTTTTATCTACAGGTAACACCACACTACATGTAGCTTGTTCTCGTTTGGTCTGTGCTACACCGCACTGTTTAGTTGTAGTCGGGTGGTGTTGTGCGAAACTTTCCTCAGAGTGTTGTGCGCATGTCGCACCGTGTGGCTACAGGCCTAGTGATTTCATAAACTGCGTGCGGTGGTCACCTCTTTGTTATGGCATTGAAAGTCTGTGCTTTAAGACCGTCCACTGAGTAAAATTCGTGTGGGTGTACGGTCTTCATAAAAGGGGTCAAATAAAGCCTGAGCCATACCCAGACTGGTCCCCTTTAGGCAGTTTATTCTAATTTTTAGACTAGCATCTTTTCGGGAGTCTCCCCCGGGACGTATACTATCACCTGAAGAACATGAATAACAGGTTAGAAAGCGTTACTATAATCCAGCAGATACGCATTAGGGAAACCCGAATTGCTATTTTCTAGAGAGTTATCCAGTGAATAGCGATATCTACGTACCTATTAAGCAACTGCACTGATGCAGATGTATTAACCTACTGGAATTTGTAGTCACTTATTGTAATAAATTATCAGTAAAAGGAAACTAAATATTGTATAAGCTTTGTTTTTAATTTGGTGATCCATAGGACACATTGCGGCCACAATTTAAGTAAAGGGATTAACATATAATGCAAGCCAACCCTAATCAGTGAAATTTTTCCTCCACAGTTTAGTGCGGAAGTGTAGCCTAGAACTCATTACAGTGAATTTTAATACGGGTGGGGTTGTGCAGGGGAAATGTGCATGGTCTCATGGTGCTACGGTTCCGTCCAACCACCCGGTCAGCATCGCAAATTTATAGGAAATAAAACAATGGAAGAATTTTTAGTCAGTGAGAAATGTGCTGACGTCTTGGACTAACTAATCAAGGATAGCTTAGGTATTGAATATTCATTATCAACAAGTTACCGCTACTTTTTATGAAACACCATCTACAATAATTATTCAAAGTTTGTTTGAATAAAAAGTGTCGTTAAAGAAGCACAAAATTAAGCGGCTAAAGTTCAACATGCTAAATTTATAATAACGTGCTGTCATAACGTTACCCTGCGTTCACAAATAAGTGAGCGCGCTTATCACTTACTTAACCCATTCGCCCCTGAACCGCCTGTAACCGCCCGTAACCGCCCGTGCGGATCCAGGTCCTTTCTACCCATTGTGACGTCATCAGTTTTAACGGTCAAGGACAACTTTCTTCTCTAACTTGTGCAGAGTGAAAAGATTTTTCAAACCATACCAGAATGAGCACAATTCAGTCAAGGACACCGGAGAAACAAGCAAAAAACCACGTGACATTGACCTGAAAATCTCCAAGAAAATCTTGTTCCATTACCCACCTACCTTTCCTTTCACCTAATCCTAAGATCCTAAAAGATTTCCTAAAAACTCTTCCCACCAAAATGAAGCCTACTAAATGCCCAGCAAGAGAAAAAAAAATGAGGCAAGAAAAGCGAAAAAAGAAGGGAGGAGAGAAAGCAAAAAGTAAAAGTCCAGACTGCTGTGTCACTTTTAAATTTTGCTTTCTGCGCATGCCCGAACTTCGCAAGCTGATATTTTACATCTGGATCAGAAGGCCGCGAATTGTTCGACCGTAAACCAGTTTGTGGTAAGTTTTAGCTCTTTATAGCACGACAGTGACCAGAAAACACTCGACTAGCTTCAAAACGCGTTTTTCGGCAAAATCTCCAGGAGCGAATGGGTTAACAAGCCAACCAAAAAACATACAGAGCGTGCTTCACTAAACTGACAATCAAACCTCAAAATATGTACAGAACGCGGGAACAAATAATGTCACAAGTAAACCACGAACAGAGAGCACTAGAGCCACTAGTTCAAACCACAAAAAATTGCTGCGTTCGTCACGGCTGGCCATCAGACCCTTAAAGAATGCGTTCGTTTACTATTTTTCTTAGATCGGATCAATCCTGGATCGCTTGCCATCTGAGACCCTTATTAAATCGAGCTGAATGTTTAAATAACAATAAGAAACTCAACAGAGAAAGATCGAGAGAGTGAGTGAGATAGCACAGCCTAACATAACCATTAAACCAGGAAGCTCAGAAGTAGCTACCTTTTCTCTCATAACGGAGTTGGTCATCATATGACACCAACAATACCATCTTATATCTACAAAGCGCGAGTGGAATAACTGTTTTATTAAAAACGCGGCACAAAATATCGAGAATTCTTCCCGACTTTATTTGTAAAAACAACCGATTTTCAGCTTGTTTTAAAGTTTGAGCAGACGCGTACAATTACCATATTTGAAGAGCATGGTATAATTAACAATTATTCCTCGAGCCCGAATGGGCTCTGAGTCAATAGCCCATGAGGCCGAAGGCGGAATGAGGGCGAGAGGAATGCATGTGCAGAGTTGCCTATTGTTTTTTTGACGTTGTCCTTGACGCTGATCAAAAAGATTCGCGGCGTCAGGGGACAAGAATGGGAAACTCCCTAGAAAAGAGAGCCATCAAAGTGCATGGTCACTTGAGAAAGACCGCTGGCCAATATTAAGACATCAACTGAAACGGAGATACGACTTTTCATCTCATTACTTTAAAAAAGGCAATAATTCAATCTACGGTCTACTTTCTTCAGAAGTATGGCGGTTTTTTTATGTAGAGTTTTCAAACAAGAGAGATATATTTTAAGTTAAAATGTAAAAATTCGTACCCTACCGGAATATTACCTACTCTAAAATAAATAAAGCACAGACCCTTCATATAGGATCAACAATGGATTCTAGGCGACAAGTTTCCTGGAGAATGTATTCGTCACAAATTAATATAATGACATTCAAATAAATTCGAAAAATAAACCAGCGAGAGAACCAATGAATATAACGTTTAACCGGTTATCCAGTCAATGCCATGTTGGTGTTTAAATTCAACATTTAATCCCTGATTTAATCCACTATTTTATCTTTTATAATTTTCATGGTCACATCTCTGACTCGCTCTACTGCCATTTGTTCGACATTGTACGATTTTCTTCCATTCCGAGTATTATTGAAAATTAAAAGTCAAAGCTCTTAGCAAACAGTTTATACAAATAAAGAGCTGCCTTTGTGAAAAGAATAATTACATGTGAATGAAAAATTCTTTGACCTGGCTTACTGAGGCTTGAATGCAAATTTGACTTCTTGTAAACATTTTTTTCGTAACATTGAAGTTTAAGGCAGTCAAAGGATTCTGAAACCTTTACACGATGCTTGGACTTGCTTAAAATTCACTTACGTAGAAAAGATGTCAATTGTGAAGGACAACAATAATCAGAAACCGGCGCCAAGCAAACACTTCGTCAAGCCATTGCTTCTTGCTCAAAACAGCCTTCATGTTCCAAGCCATGTTTTGCTGCCTCGTGGCTCTCTTTTTGCTCACCCTTACCCGGAATCTGTTCACCCGTTTGAAACCCATGAAGACCAGAGTATAAGCGAACTAACTGCTAAAACGATCGCTAGAGGAAACCATTTGATATTGGATACAAATATCTCTCAGAGAACAGGAGAAGTAAGCAAACATGGGCGACACAATGTACACAGATCTTACCATGCTTGTGATGAAAGAAACATTGGAGATTTTGCTGTCAAGAGTATTCCGGTTTTACCATTTAAAGTTGCGGTTTTTTGTCTAATTTTAAACACCATTACACCAGGAGCAGGTAAGACTAAAGTTTATAAGGTTTTCATGATACCATATCCTCTGCTAAATATATGATACCTGACTAGAAGTTATTCAAATGAGGCGGCGACTAAAACATATACCCCCACAAAAAGGTTTCTTCAGTATTTTTCATTGAATACCAGGGACGAGACGCACGGAAAAAAAATGCCTTGTCTTCGTTCAAGTGATAATTCTAATAAAAGTAATAACTTCCTCTTCGTCATCGGTCACTTCTATCCGCCTCGCGATATGGTGGCTCTTTAAACCATATCTTGTCTAATTAATAAATTACATTTTGGCATCGCGGCATTCTTTTACTTTTTCACTCAAATTACCATTATTTTGCATGGACAATCACTCAGAAAAGCCAATATATTTTCTACCAACTTTTTATATAACAACAAGGGCCCAGTTGCTCGAAGCATGGTTGGCGTTAACCAGCGTTTAATACCTTGACAACGTATTGGTTTTGATACTGCTTATCCAATGGTTAAAGCTAACCATGCTTTGAGCAACTCAGCCCTGACGGGCCATCAAATACAGGGTCGACCGAAATCAAAACTAATTATATTCAGTGAAAAGTATACTTACAAAACATCTACTCTCCATCGTCTATGACAATAACAAACCTTCTACAAACTTACTATAACAAAAAGCTTGATACACTACCACATAAAAAGCTCACTGAAACACAATGCGATACAAAAACAGTCAAGTAACATTGACGGTAACTACTACCACAAAATAAAAACCAAGATTTTGTTTTGAATGTCACTACTAAAACAGATTCACTGAAACTTTCGCCATTTACATTCATGGTCGGCTACGTTGCTATTTTATCAGTCATTGGCTAGTTTTGCTCCGGTGAACAAAAATGAAAGGGAGAAGTTGAAAAATATAAGTTTTACTTCTATAGTCTCAACTGAGAAAACTTAAAAACAATTCATAATTCAGTTTTCAGTCGAGGAATCGAACGAAAAATAGGATCCAGTTTAACTGCATCACAAAAGCACTGGTCTAGTTCCTAACTAGGCCAGTTAAGCCCTAAATAGGCAAACAAAAAAAAAACGTCTAACTTTGAGGAGACGAACTAAACTTTCTGAGTTAAGTTCACGAAAAGTTGGACGTTTAGCATTAGCCTAAGTGCGGCGTGCGGCGAGCAGCGAGTGCTTTACTCAGCATCATACACAGAGGCGGATCCAGGATTGTTTTTAGGAGGGGTTGCACTCGTCTCTTGCTCTACTTCAACACCAATAAACCACATAGTTTTTTTTTGCAGTATACCAGTTGTATTAGAAAACCGGTGGTCATCTCGAGGGGGGGGAGGGGGGTGCACACCCCTTGCACCCTCCCCCTAGATCCGCCACTGATACAGTTCTCTATCACGAAAAATGCTGGTAAAATATTAGCCGGGAATTTCTATTTAGAAACAGCGTCCATTTAGCAAAATGCACGTGTTGTCAACCTCGTCCCCAGGGCTTTTCCCTCAAAAAATGGAAGGGAAAAGCCCTGGGGACGAGGTTGACATGTTGTGGTTCTCTTTTTTCCTTGGTCAAATTTTATGTCCCTTTGTTATATCTGGGTATTTTAATGAATAATTATGAGGTTTGAAACAAAGGAGAAATAAGATTGAACTAAGAATAAAATTTAAGTACAAGTGAGACCAGGAACAAAGCAAAATACCTAAATAGCCTGTGTGGCAGGCGTCTAAAAGGCGGCCAGGCCGGTATGAAGAAAAAAGTAGAGATTGGAGAGAGTTCATCTTCTCGTGCTTTATTTGGTCACTTATTGACACTGGACGCTATCGGGAAATTGGTGGGCGTCATGCAAACTGACACCAGCTCCTTTCGATTTCCTTTTTCCCTTTCGCCCCTCCTCCGAACCCCCGACGCCCCCTCCCGTTTTAGCGCCTGCGCAAACACACGTCGAGAGTAGTCAGCGATGATAGCAGTAAAGTGAAGGTGAATAACTGACGAGGGGGAAAAGAAGAGGGGACAATAGCGAAAAAGGAGAGTTTAACTCACTCTCGCCCATCTTTCCTTTTGTGCTCACCGCGTACGATTTAACTCGATCCTCACCATCTGTTGAAGAATTCTTGAAATTAACTAACAGTGCAGCTGTATTACATCGTCACGTTAAGGTTCGAGCTCCACACTTTCAAAAAAAAATTGCTGAAAATCTCCTGCCAGCAGTGCGTGTTTGACGTTTACGTGTATTACTCTCTGAATCAATGCCGTAATGAAACGACCATTTATAACCACTTCCAGTTATTGGCCCTTCTCAGTAAAAAAAAAATTAATTAAAATCGGTCCATAAAAAACGTATTTCAATCAGTACTGTTATAACTTGTTTCAAATCGCTTTTTCTATTCCGGTTATAAGTCCCTTCGGATATAAACTCCTCCGTTTATAAGCTCTCCTAAAGTCCTTCAGGCAAAGATGTATAAGACCAGAGCTTACAAGAGGCAGTTTACGGAACAAATCACGTGCCGAGAGCCTTGTTAACCTGGCTTGGTGATGACTAAAAGGATTAACTTGGACGCCATTATGGCGAGGGGATTGCCATACACACTACTGACAGTAGCCTTACGTAAATGCTTTTTTCTAAGTTTAGTTCAATTCCCTTTGAGAAATGTCCTGTACACACATCCGTTCTTCAAGGAGATCTTGAAATAAACGCAGCGTGTGGTGATCCTTTCTCGTCCCCAGTTATTATACCTTTTTGCACTCTAGCTCCTCAACACCTGTAAGAGTATAATTTGAATTCTCTTTAAGCCAAGATAATGCCTGTTACATAAAATGGATAGCCATTGGAATTAATTGAAGCTCTGCCATTCAAGCCGAAATTAAAACGGCTTATTCTAAGTTATATACCCTGCATGATTCATTAATCATGAAGGCTACTGATCATGGCTATTTGCTTTAGTAAACATATCTATAGCTAAGAGTTAATTACTCGAAATGAAAACTTGAATAACTTTGAAAACTGCTAAATCAGTTTCTGTGCTTTGGAAAGTTTAGAACTGATATTTGTGACGGGTAAGTGGTTGCCAAAAATTGACTGAAAAAGATGATATTTTCGATAGTCTCATTTTCGTCGCTTAAATAGCACCTGTAAAAGAGCAGTTATAGTTTGATTGAGACTCACGTCCCCAAAACAATTAATAACTTTATTCAGAAAAAAAAAAAGAATAATAAACTCGTCGACTAGCTCCTAAAGAAACACAGCATGGGTCAAAAACGGCCGGCCGGAGGAAGAAGAGCACCTGTGAGTCACGCATCATCATCGATCGGGCGCTTCAATACTAAAGTTTTTAATATCATCTCAACTATCCAGGTAATGAGGGAGTTATAGATCACCGCAGTTTTAGTGGATACAGACTTGCTTCAAGCGCAAGTTAAAAGGAAAGATCTGCTGCCGTTTCATGTGTATAACTAACTCAGTGTCTTGTGTCAGAAAACAATAAGGTGTTGATGGATTACTGATGTAAATTGATCTGAAAGTCGAGTCTCTATTGTGATGTCAAAAGGACCTAATGACTCTACCATCTGAGAAAGTTCGCTTGTAAAACGACATGTTTACTCTGCTTTTCTTCGTTTCTTATGACGTTCATTCAACTGTTGTGAATGGTCATTACCCATGGTGATAGCAAACTAAAACCGTAGAGTATTGATTTTTGTCCGGCTAAAAGTAAAACTCTATATATCGTTGGCTGGATAGGAAACCGTAAGTCTATCCTCACTGAGTATCCTGCAATGACAACGAGGAAGAATTATGCGAGTTCTTCGACGCAATTTCTGTGCACTGAAGGAGGAGTGGAGAATGCTAAAGAAAATCTTCCACTAGTAGGATTAAATGTGCCGGTTTTCATCGGAGAGAACAGTGCTTCAGGGGAATATACACTTGGTTTGCCCACGCGGACAAAGTCAGTAGAGAACGGAAACTTTTTACAAAGGAGCTTTAGCCAGGAAACTGATGCAAGCTCTTCACCGCGGAATATTGCTCGTTTGGCACGAATCTCGACTTCCTCGACAGCAACAAGTCCAAATACATTATTTGAAGGATTTCAAATTCCGACCGAGACGGTCATTCCGGTGGAAAATGTTAGTCCCATAAAGAAGAAAAAAAGTATATCGGCGCAAGAAGCCATTCCAATTCTACCCCGCTCCGCAGCCATTGCTTGTCTGATTTTGAACATTTTAATTCCCGGTTTAGGTAGGTCTGTCTGTGTTCATCAGTTTTTCTTTGCTGTCGGCACTAACTACAGTCTGTCAGCACAGGCTTTAATTAGCATTTATTTACGCTAGAGGTTTTGTTTCCAAGGGGAAATTTTGAGTTGGATATTTCAACCAGACTTTTGATGATTGAATTGCTCTCCGGCCATCTCGGATTTATACAAAAAGGTAAATCGTATGAAACCGATTCTTGTTAGATCATCAATGCAGTACTGTAGAAAAAACGGTTCATTTTATATACTGAAAAATTCATCATTAGGCCTTTTCGTGGAAAGATGGGAATAAATTAAAATGATATGCCGGATTATCCGAGACAAGGCTTTGACCCATGCCATGTATTTTGAATTTCTCAGTTTCAGCTTTCGTCAGTAATATTATTTTGTATTGTTGACAAGACATTTGAAGTTAGACAAATAGAGGAAAATGAATATTCACCATCATTTTATGATTTTCTTGAACTCGCTCAAGAGCTTTAAATTTTCCTCCATACATAATAACTGTATTCAGTTTAATTGTTGCGTACAGGATGACATAAAAAAAGCGATATTTTAATGTGTTCGATCTCATATAGACTGTCAGTTCTCAAGAGGCAATTGATAACAAGTAAATTCTCAAAGGACCTCTATCCGTTGATAGAAAAATGGAGTTTTCCATTTGCTAGTGCGCTTGTGAACTGAATGTTTGCGAAGGGCAAAAAAATCCCTACAATGTATCAGCGTCGCATGGGAGCCATTGTCACTGTAGCCAACTTCTAAATATTGTCTCAATTCTCGAACTGAATTGTGCGCTCATCTTCTTTCTCGACAGAATTACAGATATTAATCTTCCGAAGGTATCAGTGCAATCTCGAATCAAAGAATTTTATCAAACAAAGCGCATTTAAAACTTTACTTAACGCCTCCCAGAGCCGTGAGTTGATACCATCAAAGGTTATGATTTCTCTATCACAGTACGAATCCGAATCTAACGTTGTTCGTCAAACTACACGGTAAAAAAAAATAATTAGGATAATATTTAACGAACGAAAGTCATAAACGCTTTCTTTATTTGCTTAATCCAGCTTCCTGTTGTACTTACGTTAGGCAGTCGTTTGTAACACTTTATTAATTACGTATGCATGCAGTACCAAGTATTGAAATAAGCGCCGATTTCAACAGCTGAATTCTTCAATCTTGGTATTTTTTACGTCTGAAATTTAAAAGAGAGAGTGTTTTACGTAAAAGAGTGATTTAAATTGCTAAAACAAGGCGTTCAGTTGTAAAATCCCGATCCACTTGTATTATTGTCCAGCCAGTTTTACAGACACCTGTTCAGAGTACTATTCTCGGTTACGTAATCCAAAAAAATATATTATATATTTATCACTCAATTTTCCATGAGTAGGATGATTATCCAGAATATTTATTAATTGCAATCGATGGGGTTGATAAAGATCGACTCTTTTACTACTTCTGTTTAGCTAAGGCAATTACACATGAAACAGTTTGCAGGTAATTCTCGCCTTTGTTGAATATCCGTCATACATTATTCATTTCGTTATTAGCCAATTCTTCCCTTGAAATTTTGCCGAAAAACGCGTTTTAAAGGTCTCCGAGAGGTTTTCCGGTCACCTGAGAGTCGTGCTATAAAAAGCTAAAACTTACCATGAAGCCTTTTTGGTAGGTCGTACATTTCGCGGCCTTCTGATCCAAATGCCAAATATTAGCTTGCGAAGTTCGGCATACGCAGGGTTTCAAAGTGACACAGCAGTCTTGACTTTTACTTTCCTCTTTCTCTCCTCCCGTCGATCTTTTTCTTGCTTTTCTTGCCTCATTTATTTTTTCTTTTGCTGGGCATTTAGTAGGCTTCATTTTGGTGGGAAAAGTTTTTAGGAAAGCTTTTAGGATCTTAAAATTGGATGAAAGGAAAGGTAGGCGGGTAGTGGAACAAGATTTTCATGGAAATTTTTAGGTCAATGTTACTTGGTTGTTCACCTTTTTCTCCGGTGTCCTTGACTGAATTGAACTCATTCTGGTATAGTGTGAAAGATTTCTTCACTCTGCACAAGTTAGCGGACAAAGTTGTCCTTGACCGTTAAAACTGACGACGTAACAAGTGGTAGAAGGGACGTGGATCCACACAAGCGGTTAGGGACGGCACAGGGGAGAATGGGTTAAAGCGATTACTTACTCAGTTTATTAGTAGTGAATTTTTGAAACTGAGGTCTTGAATGTGATCATTTAGCGTAGAGCATGCTCTATTCTCTTTCGTTCTAGTTTTTTTTCCTTCGGTTCGATCGTCCTTTGTTCACAAAATTGATATTAGCTGCGATGAAATAGTAGATGGGGGAAAAGAGAAATAAAAACAAAAAAGGAAAAAATGAAAATTTAATCAGTGAAAACTAACCATTGAATGGCGTAGGTTCTTGTATTGATGACAGTGACATAGAGTGAAAGGAGACTGGCCGACAGTTCCTCTGTTTTTGATTACTTTTTATCCTTAACTTCTATGACTACTATTTCGTTCCATTATTGCCAGTCTGACTCTATGCGAAAAAAGCCTTTCAATAATGTGCATTATCCGAGCATTTTATAGACTTTTTGGAAGGAACAAGCGAGTATTTTAGCGGGGAAAATGGAGCATTATAAAGTTGGAGAATTTTAATGGGGAAACAAAAACATAATGTACAAAAAGCTACTATGCAGTTCATGAAAGTGATGCTATGTAATCGGGAGGATAGAGATGAAAACTTGTACCAACTTGACCCGGCAATTTGTTCCTTTTTACTTGTCTCTATCATTTCATCGCCAGATTCAGCCGTAAGAAAAAACTGGGACAATTTTTATCCGCTCATTTCCTAACTTAACAAATTTGAATATGACCAGTTTTACTTTTGCTTAGTGACCGGGATTCTAAATCTCTCTTTTGTCACCGTTTCAGCTGATGGTCGAGGTAAAGATGACGTTCTCTTTTTAGAGTCCGTCTCTCCTCTTTCTCTCTATCTGGGGAACTTTAGCAACGACGACGGCGACGGCAACCAGGACGTCAAAAAAGCAATGGGTTTATTACGCAAAACAACAACTTTGCACGTGCATCACGCTTTTTTGTACATTTCTTTACCGTCCTTGCACGATTACGACGTGAAAATGCCTAATTGCAAGTTTTATGGAGGACGTAAACAAGCGACGACGAATCTCTTTTTCTTTCTCTAAACTTGAGTGTGGTCCTCAAGAAATCAACTCCAGGGAAATTCGCCTACACTTGCCATTTTCAGCAAATTGGAATAAACGCGACAAAGATTGAAAAAACGGGAATTCATTCTAAAACTGACGTTTTCGCTGCCGTTGCCGTCGTCGATACTAAAACTCCCTTCTGATTGGAACACGGAGAGATAGTGATTCTGGGGCAACCATCAGTAAGATAGAATACCGTGAACTGCTGCTTATAAACCCTGAGCATATACATCCAGCTGTACATCTTCTAGTTTCTAGCTTTAGTTTGCAATGTCATGCATTTACACCGCACTTACAATCGGAGGGACTTATAACCAAGGGAGCTTAAAACCGGAATAGAAAAAGGGCTTCGAAAAAAACTATTAATAGAAGTGCTGATCAATATACGTATTGTATTTACTGGTTTTTAATTAAGCTTCAAAAGATCTTAATAAATCGAATTCATTTCGATACAAGCTAGACGGGGATTTACATCCAGGGAGGCTTATTTAAGCAATAGACCACACTTTCTATAGGTTTACCGGCGTGATAACCCACGAGGGACGCGGTTCGTGATTTACAAGGCTTCTCGTGTTCTCCCAACATCCCAAGTGGGTTATCACGCCTGTAAACCCATAGAAAGTGTGGTCTATTGCTTTTATAAAATAACTGTAAGTTTTGTATGAGTTTACCGGCACAATTAACCATAGGTTTTAAATCCAATCAGAACGCGAATACTTTCTTAGTTATTTTATAAAATCCGATATTTATTTTTATTTACAGGCAGATGGGCCTATAACTTGAGACAGGCTTATAAGCAGGACCTTACTTTGTGTTTGTTTCCATGTTTCATTACAGGAACAGTTGTATCAGGCTTGATAGCTTTTTTCCTAACTCGACGCGAAATCCCCCTTAAGGACCGCGCATCCATTCTTTGCGTTAATTGTTTTGTGGGAATCATGCAGTTGACGACTATTGTCTTCCTTATGATTGGTTGGATCTGGAGCATTGTATGGGGATGTGCATTTGTAGGGCTATCTGGTAAGTTCACAGTAAGATCTGGGTACAGTTGTACCTCCATGTGTTGTACCTCCCATAAGCGCCACTTATCCAAAACGCCAAAATATTGCCAGTCAAAGCACTCTAGCACGAACGTCTCGTAAACAACCACCTCTCATATCATAAGCGACCGTGGCCACTTTTGAGGTGATGTTTTTATAATTTTCCATTGTTTTTAAGCTCTTGAAAGCGACTGCTTGACGCATGGTGGGATCTCTATTTTTGTTGTACTTGTATGTACTACGCACTCGAGAGTATGCGAAGAACTTAAGTTGCACGGTAATTTTTAGGGAGTTATTATAACTCCAAAAATGGAGTAAAAATTTTAGGTACAGGATAACCCCTTTTTTGGGGTTATTTTAACTCCTAATTTAACTCCGAATTTGGGGTCATTTTTACTCCTGAAAAAGAGTTCTTTTTACTCCCAGTCTTGGAGTTAAAATTACTCCGAAATGGGGTTACTTGTACTCCTTACAGGGGTTGTTTTTACTCTTTTCGGAGTTAATTTAACTCTGAAAGTGGAGTAAAAATTTTAGGTACAGGATAACTCCTTTTTTGGGGTTATTTTAACTCCTCAATATCTGGGGTTACTTTTACTCCTGAAAAAGAGTTCTTTAAACTCCTTTTTGGAGTTAAAATAACTCCACGAAAAATAACTCCACTGTAAGGAGTTAAATTAGCCCCACTAGAGGAGTTATTATTACTCCCTGAAAATTACAGTGTGGGGACAACATGAAACTATACATATAGTCATTTTCGATAAGAAATACTTGTTCAAAACGTTGATGTCTCCGGACTTCTTCGCCATGCACCTCCTGTTAGCGCTGGACCACTGAGTATTCGCATTTTGGTTGGTCCCTTAGGGAATGATCGACTGTATAACGGCCCTCTTTTGCCCTTATATAGCGAATGCTGACATCTTATTATATATCCCTTATTATATATTAAATAGTAAAACTCGTATACTGCTACTACACAGGACGATTTGCAAAGACAGTGTTAGGGCAATAATGTTGGAATAATGTTGTAACAATTCGAAATCACAACGCAACAATAATGTTGCATAAATCGTGCGCTCAAAATCATACTTGAAAATTATCCCGTGCAACATCGATCCTTAGAACCTTGTTGTTTACAAAGATCATTTCGTTCATTAAGCATTAAAAGTGTTTCTCTTCGAGTTTGCCTGTGATGTCGAGGTTTCTTTATTTTATGATGTGAGGTGTGGATAACTAATATACATTTGAAGTGGACAAAATTTATATTGAGTATAACTAAGAATTTTTAACTTAATTAAGCTTTGGTGTGAAGTTTCTAGACAGCCATCAACATTACATTTGCTTGCTTGAGTGATGATTAATGTTTCATTTTGCAGAACACTACGGTAAAAACATTGAAAAGGTAGAGGGAGGCGAACTTATTGCGTAAACAAGTAGGACACCTGGTAAGGACAGCCTGCCGTCTGGTCAAAATATGCGAAGACTACTTGGAAGAGGTCATGTGAGAGGTGCTGCTTCGACAAAGGTTACATTGTTGGATGACTCTCTTGGGAAGGACAGGAGATATAGTTTTCATATTCACAGCCAGTGGGGTAACTGACATTTTTGTCTTCGCCTAAAGTCGACACGACATTGGTGTTCTTAGATACCAGCAAACCGATGCAGTGGAAGTAAAGTTTTGACACAGGGTAGATTCCAGTCTACTCATGATAAAGCTGCGCATGTGTATTACTGTGTATGAAATAACTGTTTTACTCGAAGGAAGCTTTCACATAAGTTTAGGCTATTTTTAAAAGAAAGTGTGTCTAGCTAGATCCATCACTGTAAGCTGAATTACGTGTTACATAATGTGAAGCGGATTCCGTTGAGCTCAGTGTTCCACTGGTCAGTATAACCTGAGAGTAAACTCATGCTTGGAAGAGCAAAGAATTATTTGGCTAAAAATAAGAGAAGGAGACGTTGGCGGGCCAGTTTAGGATAGCTGTGTGCCATGATAGCCTGCGAGAAAGCTTTCCATTGAGGTAGTCGCGAGAAGTTAAGCGTGAGCTACACGCGAAAGGAGACGCGAGTGCGCGTTCCCTCGCGGCTTGCTTGCTTGAAGGCCAGTGCCATGAATGATTTTAAACTCTGACACTGTTTAAGGAAAGTAAAATTCAAAATTTTCATGACACTTTTCTTTAAGGTCCACAGTCACGATAAAGATATCAGGGTGTACTAACTAGACATAATCATTTTTGGTGCCTTTTGCATTGTATAAAAACGGGCATTTTTTTTCTATTTTAAATCCACGTCTATCCTTGCTATCCGTAGCAACAAACGCCAGGAAACTGTTTCAATACCTAAATATGAGCTCAAATAACAAAACTGGAATTTATCTATTCTTGAAATACAATTGATATTGAGACACGTTTAAGCTGTCTTAAAAAGAGGGCAAATACCATGACACAGCCCCTTTAAAAATTGAGCACAACGAAAACATATCCAATCTCTCGCCGCGAGCGCGCCTGTATGACTAGAGCGGGAACGTCAGTTGATGACGGCACGCGCAAGTCAAACAACTGGCTTGACCAATGACACAACCTCGTCCCCAGGGCTTTTCCCTTAAAAAATGGGTGGGGCGCCCACCCATTTTTTAAGGGAAAAGCCCTGGGGACGAGGTTGCCAATGACAGAGCGGCAAATTGAGCACCGGAATTCGAGTTAAATCCTTTCCGCGCGCTTTCCCGTTGTCAAATGACGTTCCCGTTGTGTTGCTTAGGGCCTGTTTACATGGAGTGGGAGACCCCGGTCTAGTGGGGTTGGTTTCTTTTGTTTTCACGCTCTGGGGGACACAAAACAAAAGAAACCTACCCCGCTAAACCGGGGTCCCCCACTCCATGTAAACAGGGTCTTAATCAGCCTAATATGGGCGGGGTTTTGAAATTCATACAAGTTTCGATACCACTCCTACGCCTAATCCTCTTAGAGAGCCTCATCACATAAATAAGTATGAAAAAAAAACTATGTACAGGGCTAATGCTTCACTTTAAGGTTATTTTTTGCTTGTAAAGACGTTTTTAAATTCACAGGTATTTTTTTGCCTTTTTGAGAACTGCCTTACAAATCAGTCTTTTACTTTATTTTCGCATATAACGACCATCAAGACTGTTTTTCAGGTACCTTGAGCTGCAAAAACACATTTATTTTCTCCTTTCCCTCGTTAACTTTCCGTTAATTACTCCTCGTTGATTATTAGAGCGACTTTTTGGTATCATCTTTATGTCCACACAAGTTTGTAACGTGGGCGCGTACAAACTTCTGCGTTTACGGCTTCGCTGAATGGATACCTTGAAATCCGTGTTATACGACCCTCTTATTAAGCCCCCAGGTTATAAACCAATCTGATTGTAAACAAAGACTTAATTATACCCTAGTTTTACGCTCGGTTCGGTTAATCCTGGACTCTACTGTGAGTTGTGACGTTACCGAGAGAAATTTGCGCAGACAAGGGGGATAGAGAGAACGCCAAAGGACCAGGCTGGGACAACCGTAGTGTACATTCGTGCGCATCGTACCTCCAGCCCGCCGCGCCTCTCGCTCGCATTTTCACGCGTTCCATCAAGTTTGCATCGAGAATAGATTCAACAGAACAGCTGTGCAACGTGTATAGAAAATACAACGCACATTCTTTCACAGTCCCTTGGCACTTTAATTTTTACTTTAAGCGTTAGATTGGTTTGGTGTATAGTTGAATTGTACTTTGGGACTAATTTTGACCCAGTCTCCCAGCGTCCCCAAAACAGTCCCATGACCATCATGCAATTCGTCACAACTTAGGGCGCTTTCCATTTGTCAGAACTGACCGGCCAGACCCTTTCCTTCGTAATGAGAATTTGACTATTAATCAAAACTATCCAGCTAGATCAGTCAAATCCTAAATAGTGTGTAGGAAGGAGATGGTTCTTCAGCAAAAACCATTGGAAAACGCCGATTTCATTGTCAAAATAACTTGTCCGGTGATGGTCCGGCTGGCCAGTTCTGACAACTGGAAAGGGCCCTTAGATTCAATGTCACAAGCAACAGCACAATGGCCAAAATCGAAGTTTCAATGTGCATCTCTTACGCAAAGCAAAAAAAATATTGCCAAGTTCACAGAACTACTCAATATCACACATTATTAAATAGCTACTTATGGGTGCGACTAGCATCATGTAAAAATCTAAGTTCACTTGTAAAATAAAGTAACATACGTTCTTGGACAATAAGTCAAAAGTACATACATCCATATTTACTTTGCCCCAAAATTGAGACTTATTTTATCAGTTGCTTCTGAAAAGTTTTTTTTTTTGAAGATGTTGTTCTATTTTACTTACTATAAATAGATTCTAGATTCAAGTATCTGTGAAATGTTTTCTCGATAACATAATTGTTAAGAAGAACCCCATACGGTTTCAAACATCAATTTCGGGTTGAAGTTGAACACAAAAGTCCCTGGCCAGAAGTTCTGATTTTTACCTGCCTCCTATCATAACGATACGACAACTAAAGTCAACTCCCGTTTACGGCAGACATCATCGGGACGTACGGCGAGCTAGTGTCCCTTATAACGAGAGTCCGTAGCAGCGGGGAGCTCATTTCAGTCAAACTTCTGTACTTTACTTTTGCCGGAGGTTGGACACTGTCCATATCGGGTGTGCGTAGTAGCAAGGTGTCGCCAAGGCGAGAGTTGATTGTACTGTTCCTTAAAACATTGTAAGAAGTTTCATGGGAACTGATTTTGCAATTTATAGCAGTTAACAAAACACTGAATTACAAACACCAATAAACAAACAGGCAAAAAATACACACAAAAAAGCGTTATCTAAAAACGATATTATCTTCAAAACGATGATGACAGTTATAAAGCGGTTTTCAAGCGAGTTATGTTTTCTATAACCAATCACAACACACGGTGCGAAGTTGATTGAATAAACCAATCATAGCTACAGGGAAATATACAGCGCGGGAAAACTCTTGTGTGCAACACACGATTGCTTTTGGTTCTGTTCTGACTGTTTGAGAAAGTGGCACGAACTTTTACAGTCAACTCTATCTTAACGGACACCTCTGTAAGACGGACACCTGGTTTCGGTCCCTGCCGTTTTTCAGTCATTTTACTGTAACTATACTCTCTATAAGACGAACACCTCTCTAAGCCGGACAACAGACACTTTTGAAACCGTCAACAGACACTTTTGAGGTGCTTTATGTAGTGAAAAATACTTCAAAACGGAAATGTAAAGTAAATTGCGAAATGTTTGATATATTTTGTAGTTTTGCTTCAGTTCGCAGAGTCAAGCTGACACGCTTTTAGATCACGAAGCCGTTAACGTTTGCTTGTACTGAACGTTTGATTGCACAGTGAGAAATTAATTCCACTTTGCTGTTACAATATTCCTATTTTAGCTGTTTTCTTCAAGACGTGTATTCATTGCGAATAGGTTCAGCTTTAAAATTGGTGGTGTTACGTTACCCCGACTGTCTATAAGCCGAACAATTCTCTAAGATGGACAGTTAGGGCCGGTCTCGAAGGTGTCTAGACTGCTTGTCTAGTTCTCAGCTAACGCGATTACAAACCACGACGTTATGTTACAGTAAGGGATTAGGACGCTCGCCGCTCGCGTGGTTGTGTTTCTCTTGCAGTAACTTTGTAAAGAAAAATAAGAGACTGCTCGCAGTCTTGAAGGTGTCCGACTTTGAGAGAGTTGACAGTATCTGCCAATCATAAAGAGCAAAATCAGGGCAGTCATAAATTCAGTATTTTTGACATTCAACTGCAATGAAAACCACTCTTAAAAAAGAATTGGAAGAAGCGTTATAAGATTGATAACTTAAGTGTGATAGAATTCTTGAAAGCTTATTATATAAGGATCGAACGTCTCCAGAATTTAAAACAAAGATATCATGGCATCCCTTGACTTCCCAACTCCAACCCATTGCACTGCAATTTAACAAACAATAAATACTACAATAAGTACACAAATTGAGATCGGGTCTAATCTGTGGAGAGTAAGGCGTACTTCATTTTCTGCGTCTGTGGAAAAAATCCTATGGCACCACCTTCAGCGGTACTTTCACGTGGTACTATTCACGATTCTATGGGGCAACAAATAGTAAATTTATTTGTCTATGGATGAAATCCTAGGACATGCCGACCTTAAAAAGAAACCTGTTATAAGCAGCATTTTTATGTGGAACTATTTATGACGCTGTATAAACAAATTCCAATTTAAAGTCTGTGAACGAAATCCTACGATGAAATTTTAGTAGCCGTTTACATCACAATGAAATCTGAATAATTTGAAAAGTCACTCATAATAAAATTTCTACTAGCTACTTCTCACTGAAATTTCTACTAAATAGTCTAACCTCCCGTGACAAGACCACCCAAAATACTAACATTTGGTGGGCATTTACAGGAGCTGGCCGCTTCAAAGGGGTTCCAACATCAATCGTCCTCGCTTTTGACAAGGAAGAGTGATCTTAATGTCTTGACTGGTGGTCATACAAGGAGGCTCAACTGTATTTGGCTTAGTAAAGAGAAAAAATCACCTTGTATGCATTGACTTGATAATAAACTGACCTGGAATTTGTGTAATTTCTTCAATTTTTCTGACATAACTCTGAGCATTGACTGGCAACTCGCTGAATGTTCTGCAATTCTCTATGCTGGTCATCCAGCCAGGCAAAGTGATGTATTCAACTTCAACTTCATCCAATACTTCCACAGAAGCTGAAATTAGAAGAAAATGTCATTTGCTATGCTTGAACAATAAACAATCCATTGAAAATATCACAAGACTTTTCTTTACGGGAAACAGAGAGAAGTGTGGCGTCACGTTACCATGGTAGCAAAATTTCTGGATCGCAACAATAGACCGAAACTTACTGGTTATCAAACTAGTTTCATTTAATGTGGAATGCGCATGTCCTGTTGAGCCGACTGCACGCTGGAAATTTTCTGAGCCCAGAGTAGTTATCGCCCAAACTGGTTCTGTAAGTTGTGACGCACATGACTAAAACGTTACTGGTTGTTAAGGAAACGCCAGTGCATGTGTGATAGAAAACTCATCCCAGGCTGGCAGAAGCCTCTTTCTTTCCTCTCGGTCTTCTCTTGCTATGAGAGACCTCCCAGTCTGCTAGCAGGCAAGGTAATTGGCATAATGAACAATAATGGGTGTCAATAAAATGCCAACAGAGTGATGGGGCCTATTATCTTGATTTGTTTTCTCTTTCATGCATTGATTAAAGGAAAGACGAAAAGGAAGCAAAATGAAAAGCAAAAATCGAGAAATCCCAATGCTGACACAAAGAGGGGGTTTTACTGACGCCTGCAACAGTTTTATGAAAAAAAAGATGTTTTCTTACCAGGGAAAGAATCTAAAACTTTTCCTTTGTGTTTGTAAGAGATTCCAATTTTCACTTCTTCAAAAGTGTCTAAAACATCCAGCTTGGCAACAGCAAGGCTGTCAAAAAAAAGAAAGCTTAAGGTTAAAAAGCAACTAGTACAGACTCTAACACTGATAATTTTAAGGCATGAAAGAACATCACAGTTATGTAAACAAATGAACACCTAACTATGAAGGTTAGAGCCTAGGAATGTTTTTACTTTTGACATTATGGGGAAGCCTATTTTTCCATTTGGAAAGCTAGAGATTTCTACGTACAGGCTGTTATGGACACAAATACATTAAGTGGACAGTAAAATAGTGATCATAGGGCCAAAAAAATTGAGGAAACTTCAATAATAAAAAAAATCATTAACAAACAAACTGTACTCGAGTCATTTTCCACTCTCAATCGAATAGTCTTCAATCAGTTTACTCCAAACAGTAGGCATCCTCACGATACACTTCTTTCAAAAACCCACTTAGGCAACGCACAAGGAACATGGGTCAACTTTGGACTTTTGTCTTAATATTTGTAGTTGTGAACATTATCTGCATCCATGCACATAGAGCTTTATGCCAGTAACAACAACTGAAAAACTTTCATCTTGTTTCTGAGAAAATGAAGTAGCATACTACAAGAACAAAGTGAATAGCGAATGATGAAATACATGACAAACTGATGAAGTCTTACTACCTTGTGAAATTATTTATCATGTGAGAATACTTGATCATGACAAGATCAAGCCAGCCACACCGCCGCTTTCGACCAGTCGTAACCCCAAATTCCCTGCCAATCTGCTGCATCTTGTCACCGAGTTCCTACAATGAAAAATAGTTAATTGTAACAGTTATACTTATAAGCCAAATAAATAACATTGTATTAAAAGTGGTTATCTGAAGAGGTGCTTGGAAACAATTCTTTCTTTTAATCACCGGCAAAAGAAACTAGAAGGAGAATTTAGCAGTTTATCAAAAGTCATTTAAGGCTATATTATGAACACTCCTTCTTTCATTACATGATTTAGTGCCTTGAAGAAGTGCATGGAGAAAAGTTTAATAGATGTCAATAAAATTGAAAAGAGAGCTTCAACGGTTGAATATGTCACAAGACAACTTTGATTTCAGGTTAGAATTTTGCGCTTACTGGCTTAATGAATGAATGAATGAATGTGAGGTCATTTCTATTGTTGTCGTGCATGCAACAACACATAACCTTCAGAGCCAAAGAGACTGGGTTTGACACCTACTATCTCCCATTTTTTTTACTCTGTCTTATAAATGCGTTAAATGACATGGAGGAATTTGATACCAATTGCTCTCAAGACTTTTTAAACAGGTTAAACAGGATATTAAGAGCTTTTCTTTTTGTAGGGCTGTTGACATTTGTGGGGCGGGGGGGTTGGGAGACATGCAAAAGTAGAGAGTCTCCAGATTTTAGATCTCCTGTGGCTGGCATCCCTGTTAATAGCCAATACCACCAATGCACGTTTGGGTCAGATTGAATAAACTTTTGTCTTTTAATACTTAAAAAACTTCCGAGAAATCTTTCAGACAAAGCAAAATATAAACAACCTACATTCTTAAGTTCAGTTGGAAATCCTCCCAAGCCAACCCTTGTTGTGTACGCCTTGGTCACTCCATAAACATTTCCTATTGCAGTTGGTGGAATGCCGAGTCCAGTGCACACGGCACCTACTGCACAGTTAGAGGAAGTCACGTAAGGGTATGTACCTGGTGAATAAAAACAATGTTAGGTTTTTATTTCCTTGAGTAATTACAGTGTAGAGAGATTTAGAGTCAAGTTTACAGAAAACAGCAAATGTTAGATTCAAGTTGAGAAATTCTCAAAGTAGAGAATTAGCAGACAAAAACAGCTTAAAACAATTTTTATTAGTGAAGCTAGTAGTGTGAATATCCACTGATTTCTGTGTAGTTATATGAACAGTCAACAACAAGTAAAGGCAAAACTTGGTCACTAATTCGTACACGTACAAATTCACATTTGCCATTGCCGTAAATGTAAGTTACTCTTTTTATCTCTCTATTGTTATCCTGCCGAGCCTATAGTTTTGTGAAAGATGATAAAGTTTAATCCCCACCCAAGCTAGTTTAGCCAAATTTTATGCAATGTTTTCTATTCTTTGGACATACAAAATTGGAGCTTGTAAATTATGTTGATTCTTTCTGTTGATTTCCAGTTATGAGATCATGACAGTAAACACATGCAAGATCTGATGGCACTGATCGAAAAAATCTACAGAATTAATTAATATGGGCTACAGGATTATTCTAATCCTCGATCTAAGTCATAAACAACCTTACAGGAACCATGCCCAGAAGATTTAAGGACAGCCTTTTAGTAAATTAATGTCGTCTTAGAGTCTGTGTCTCTTCTTCAAAATAAGCTTCTTCAATGTATGCAAATTTCGGAAAAGAAGAGAGAATTAAATAAAAACTTACCAAAGTCTATGTCCAACATCAGAGCATTGGCTCCCTCCACTACAATGTTGGCAGATTCATTCTGCAGGGCTTTGTGCATGTAAGTTACTGTGTCACAAACCATGGGGCGGATCTTTTCTGCATAGTGCTACAAAAGAAGACACAATATTTATTTTAAAACTCCTCATGAATTAATGCACACCTGTACACTCAATACCCAAAATTATCGCACAGAGAGGTTATTATTTGTAAAGGATGAGACAGAATATTATATCAGCCCAATAATAAACAAAGATGAACCAACTAGATGGGTTTGGCTATAATTTGTAAACAGAACCTTAACATGTACATGACAAACAATAATTTTAAATTTGACATTATTTCAGAAATAGAATTACTCTGTAAATCACCTAATGTTGGTACAGTGAGCATGCTAACAGTAGAAGTTCTTATTGGAAAGTTAATATACAATGCAATACTGTAAAATGCAGTTAATGGAGCTTGACCCTATTTGTTAAAGATAGGTCAAGCAACATCGTGCCATCCCCTTTGCATACATAGTTTAACTTTTATTCATAGTATGTTAGCTCACTGTTAAGTGTGGGAAATCACTAGAAACAATAGAAAATGTCAGCTTATGTTTCAGTCTAGCTGGCCACATATGTATCGCTTGCTTTTATTATCATACCTTGTACTTTGCAATCTCGTCTTCAACATTTGTGCTGAGGTCTGGATATCTTTTGTCATGGTAAAATGCAATAAGATTAAAAATGTTACATTACACTGTAAATCAACCACAAAGAACTTTGCAATGAGGATATGATGATAATTCATTATATTTATACTGGTGGTTCCAGAAAATACCCTGCACACTATGCCCATAAATGGTCACTGGAAATTACAACAGGGAGTAGGGTCTTACAGGCCAAAATTTTATTTTGGACTCTTGCCTTAAACATTTCACAATTGTTAACTTTTATACATGTACAATGTACATACATTTTAGTGCAGTACTTACAGTCTCTGAAAGTGTGACACAAGTCCTCGGAATCTGCAAAAACAATGTTATTTATTTATTTATTTATTTATTATTTTCCCACAATAAAGATTACACAAGCATTACATTATACAAAGATGTGGCGAGGGGACCTCAGAAAACCACAAGGCTTGTACGAGGAGGCCCCCTCGTTACAATAATATTAAGCAATAGAACTATAACAACACACAACAACGGACAGTACAAGACGCATTATCGATATAGTAGAAAATCAAAAACTTTCGTTTTAAACGATTGCAATGTAAAAATCGAAGTGACTGAGTTTGGTAAAGAATTCCAAATTTTAGGGCCTTGGAACAAAATAGAAAATTGTTTGGTGTTAGTTCGGCAGGCATGAGAACGGAAATGCGAGGAACTTCTAGTATTATAATTATGAATATTGCTACTAGTAACAAAAAGGTTCGAAAAAAGCGGTGGCAGTAATTGATGATAATATGAAAACATAAATTGTGCAGTATAGAATGAATTAATGTTGTATATGTCCAAAATCTTTAAACGGAAAAATAATGGTTCAGAGTGCGCGCGAAAATCTGCATTTGTAATAATTCGTACTGCTCGCTTTTGTAGAAGAAAAATTCTATTAAGGTTTGTTACATAAGTGGAGGACCAAACTGTGGTACAATATGTTAAATAAGGATAAATTAAGGTATAATAAAGAGACTTTTTTGTTGTTTCAGAAAGAAAGAAACGAGACCTAAACATGACGCCAATAGATTTTGAAATTTTCTTACATATATAAGTAATATGCGGCTTCCACGTTAGATGCTCGTCGATAAAAACAAGGGGAGCGCATTACTTTCTTTGTTTTAAGTTTTATCGTTTTTAATGGAAAGCTTTCATTGTATAATCGAACATACTCACTCACAAAACTATTATAACATTCATTAGTATCGCTTTCATCGAAACGTAAATTCCAATTAACACGAGAAAGAGAGAGCCGAAAATTGCTCTTATTTCTTTCTGAAAAATCTCTTTTAGTGAGATATTTAGTTTGGCTATTTTTCGACGCTATTTCTGTCTCATCCACTTCATAAACAAAAACCGGTAGATGGTCAGAAATATCATTAATAACAATACCATTGAAATGTTTACACCTTACATTATTCGTGAATATATTATCAATAAGTGTGGCCGAATGAGCAGTGATCCGAGTCGGTCTATTGATTAGAGGAATGAACATATGGGAAAATAGACTATCAACAAATTCTTGAGTAGGGGCATGATCGGAATAGTGAAACAGATCTATATTGTAGTCTCCACCCAAATAACAATATTTGTCATTTCTAGTTATTTTAGCAAGAATCTCATTAAATTTGTCCAAAAAGTCCCGAGTGTTATAATTAGGCGGACGATAAACAGTACCAACTATAATATTTTTCCCATTGGGAATGTTAATTTCAACAAATATGATATAGATAACTGATACCGACTGATACCGATTTTGGATAAGTTTCATGTGAATAATCCCTAAAAAGAGTAACTACATGTACATAGTTGTGACATCCAACATTAAAATTGTGGAAGTACATTCATATATCATTGACTGTGGCAATCATGCTTGAAAGAGTACTACTTACCGTTTTTCAAAAACTTCAAAGTCTCCAACCAAGTCACATATTCTCAGTCCAATCCTTTGAGCCTAACAAACAACACAAACTGTTATTTCTCTTGTTCAAGATGCTCAATATCACTCTATTGCAATGGTATATCCACCTGGACACTTTGCATTTAGGTAAATTTCAATATTGTTTACTTTTCACCCATCAGTATTGCACAGGCCACCCAATCACAATTTAGCACTTGTACTAACACTCTGTTCAAACACTCACAGCAATTATTGGATTTTTTTAAAAAATCTAATAAATGTATTAAGTACCTTTGAGGCATAAGTGGGTCCAATTCCCTTCTTTGTGGTTCCTAACCTAAAAAAACATAGTAATACAAAATTAGTCTGCCTAGCCTAGTAGGATACGTTTTTCAAAACAAAAACACAAACCCTGAGGTTGATCTTTACAAAAATGAATTAAAAAAGTCCTAATAAACTCACCCTCCTTTGCCACCTTCCCTTAACTTGTCTGATTCCTGGTGTAAATCAAAAACTATAAAAAAAAGTTACCGTATTTATTCGATTAACCGCCCTGGGCGCTTATTAAATTTTTGTACCTTGAGAGTGGGCGCTTATTCGAGGTGGGCGCTTATTCGAGGCTGGGCGCTTATTAAATTTTCACCATTTTCAGCAAGTGTAGTATGTTGATTTTGCAAGAAAACAATAAATGCTAATAACAAAACGCGAAGAAGTAACAAAGCAAGGTTTCTGTAAAATACTCTGAAGAAAACTCCGTCCTCAGGGAAGTCTCTTATTAGAATTTATTCACTCAAGTAGGTGGGGTAGGGGTGAGCGCTTATTTGAGTTTGATTGGGATGGGGAGGGGGTGGGCGCTTATTCGAGGCTGGGCGCTTATTAACTTTTTCTGCCTTTAGGACGGGCGCTTATTCGAGGTGGGCGCTAATTCGAGGTTGGGCGCTTATTCGAATAAATACGGTACACATGTAATAGAAATCGACTGAAATAAAAAATAATAATAATATACAATGATTTCTTGTAAAAACCACTGTAATAACAGCAATAAAACATTTACAGCATATTTAGACAAAAGAGACAAAAAATTCAATACCTATGTGTGCTCTGTCAGAGACTAAAAGTCTTCCCTGCCAATCTGGCACCCCTACAAAAATATAAAATGCACTGGTTAAATAACAGATTTTAAGCTTTTTTGATTATGGAACAGATAAGGCAAGGGACATTTTTGGCTACCTTTTGCATCAAGTGCTTGTAACTCTTCAAAAAACTGAGGAATGTGAATAACCACACCATTACCTACAAAAACCACAAGTAAAAAAGCATAAACAACGTGTACATGGACATGATGATGTAGTCAGTCCTGTGCAATCATGATCATTAAACAATCCCTAGGATTTCATAGCAACTATCTTTTCCGCTACCATGTCATCACTGTGGTCTTAAAATAACGGAACCAAAAAATTGTTTCTCAGTAACATCTTAGCATCAGGGATCAATTTACTGAAATTTACTATTTTCCAACTCAGATTCCAGTCAACTCACTTCAACTAAGACAGGCCCTTTCAATGGGACCAGCACTGTGTGTCCATCTTAGAGAAATGTCCGTCTTATAGAGAGTCAACGTACTTAAAGAAAATAGAAAGGCAGGGACCAACTCTGGGTGTCCATCCTAGCAAGGTGTGTGTCTTATAAAGGTGTCTGTTAAGAGAGAGTTGACTGTACAGGTTTTCTCATTGAAGACAAAAAATAAATAGGAAAAATTATGTGGAGTTTTCAGGGGATCGTATTATCAAATAGGAAAAGGCATATGATGGGGATTGGTGTAAAGCTATTTTCCTTGAGTGCATTTAGCACGGAACAACACTGTTATTTGATTCCCAGCACCATTAGGCATTTTCAGGAGGTTCTGCATGTATCCACATGTATGTCCCAGAACTGCATAGCCGTAGCCTTTAAAATACATTTTTATTTTGTCCAAATTATGTTAATGTATAGATATATTTTTAAAAATTAATCAACATAGTTTACTCAAACATTAAGTAATTATAGCATTATTATACTATTATAAGAAGAAAGTACAATGTTTTAAATAAAAAAAGGGAAACTTTTTACTTACCAATAACACTAACAGCATTTGGTTGTATTAACCCACTAAAATTATAATAAAAATAATATCACCTATCAAGCACTAACCAGTCATAGTAAATCAGTCATAAAAGTATAATAAAGTAATTTGGAAATTATTCATTGTGAGACAAATTTCCTTTACACACTTCACCTAATTAGGTGCTTGTTGTTTGAGGAATAAGTGTTATTCAATCTATGCTACTTTTAAGTCTTTTTGAGAGCTGACAATTTTCTGACTGATGCACTATACAAGGGAAACACCAAGAAAACTGATTTTCATTTGCTAGAATTATTATTTTACACATGTACAAATGTAACAGCTACATTTCTAGTCTTTGATGCCTATATTAGTAATTTCTGTTCTACCACATGATGTTATGGATAAAGACTTCTTGCAAATGATGATGCACTATAATTCAGTTCTTGTAAACAAGGGGTGCGTTCCTTTGGGATGATCCGGATCAGGATCAGTGATCCGAGATTACTTGGATCATGGAAGATCAAATGAACCGATGAATCCACTCTGGACAAGGATTCATCGCTTCATTTGATCTACCATGATCCAAATGATCTCGGATCACTGATCCTGATCTGGATCATATCAAAGGAACGCACCCAAGAAGAAACATTTTCAAGTTGTGATTATGGTAAATCTTACCTTGGGACCATATGAAAGAAATATTCTTTGGAGTCGACAACAACTGTGTGTCCCGCATTGTTACCACCCTAGGTAATCAGGAAGAAATTTCATTTTTACACACCCATGTAATTCATTAAAGCAATTCATTTAGAGTGAATACTGTACAAAAAATTTGTATCAGTAAATAAAGGGTCTAAAAAAATTAGTGTAAAAATCATGGCAGGGGGTACTTCCTTATTAAAATCATGGTGAGATGCTTGTCTGAAAATTTGAAATAGTTTTCAAGTTTGTCCAAAAAACCCTGTATTGGGACTGCATTTGTGTGAATTCAGCATATTATAATGTCGCAGTCTTTGTTCGTTAATTGTTAACAAACCCCAGCCTAACGTCTATTCAGGGGACACTTCCCTCGGTCCCGAGGGTCGGTGTCAATCGGTGCAGGCATGCATGTGTTTTGTTGTCCCTTCGACAGAGGTTCCATTGTTGTACCAAAATCAAATTACATGTTGACTTCAAATGTTCAGTATTTCATCATTGCAGTGATGATAAGCTAAGGTCAATTGACCCTCAATACTGACAACAGCGACAAGGCAAACTAAAAGATCAGTTACGCCATCCAATGGTAATTTCTGTGTTTTCAATTGATGCAGTCTTTGTTGTCACTGTTTACAAAAACTGAAACGAGATCAGCGATCCTAGTCTGGTCGTTCAAAGTTTGTTTCAGAAGAGCAATATACAATGTTAAAAAACTTTGTTTCAAGGATCTATGTGACTAGGTTGTGCTACAATACAAACCTGACACCGGCACACCAGATCGGCATTCGTCGACAAAATATCCACTAGTTTTCCTTTTCCCTCGTCACCCCACTGTGCACCCAATACTACCGTGACTTTCGCTCCTGCTTTTCGCTGCGATGTTCCTTGTCCATTTACTATAGCAGACATGACAAAGGAGTCAAAAGAAATAGGAAAATATTCAAGTTAACCTTGAGTTCTTTAACTTTTTCGAGTTGCAAATCACCGGTTCCGCGCCAATTCGATTGTATCTGGCACGTGAGCATGTGGTTATTCTTTCATGTTACGCTTACGCCAAATAGATATATCCTTCATGTAATAGTAATAGATTGTTTATCTCCCTGTATACCCTGTATACCCATGTATACCCTGTATACCTATGTATACCCTGTATACCCATGTATACCCTGTATACCCTGTATACCCATGTATACCCTGTATACCCTGTATACCCATGTATACCTTGTATACCTTGTATACCCTGTATACCCTTGTATACCCATGTACTCCCAGTATACCCTGTATACCCTGTATACCCATGTATACCCTGTATACCCTGTATACCCATGTATACCCTGTATACCCATGTATACCTTGTATACCTTGTATACCCTGTATACCCATGTATACCCATGTACTCCCAGTATACCCTGTATACCCTGTATACCCTGTATACCCATGTATACCCATGTACTCCCAGTATACCCTGTATACCCTGTATACCCATGTATACCCTGTATACCCATGTATACCTTGTATACCTTGTATACCCTGTATACCCATGTATACCCATGTACTCCCAGTATACCCTGTATACCCTGTATACCCTGTATACCCATGTATACCCTGTATACCCATGTATACCCATGTACTCCCAGTATACCCTGTATACCCTGTATACCCATGTATACCCATGTACTCCCACTATACCCTGTATACCCTGTATACCCTGTATACCCTGTATACCCATGTATACCTTGTATACCTTGTACACCCTGTATACCCTGTATACCCATGTATACCCATGTACTCCCAGTATACCCTGTATACCCTGTATACCCTGTATACCCATGTATACCCATGTACTCCCAGTATACCCTGTATACCCTGTATACCCTGTATACCCTGTATACCAATGTATACCCTGTATACCCATGTATACCTTGTATACCCATGTATACCTTGTATACCTTGTATACCCTGTATACCCTGTATACCCATGTATACCCATGTACTCCCAGTATACCCTGTATACCCTGTATACCCTGTATACCCATGTATACCTTGTATACCTTGTATACCCTGTATACCCTGTATACCCATGTATACCCATGTACTCCCAGTATACCCTGTATACCCTGTATACCCATGTATACCCTGTATACCCATGTATACCTTGTATACCTTGTATACCCTGTATACCCTGTATACCCATGTATACCCATGTACTCCCAGTATACCCTGTATACCCTGTATACCCATGTATACCCTGTATACCCATGTATACCTTGTATACCTTGTATACCCTGTATACCCTGTATACCCATGTATAACTATGTACTCTCAGTATACCCTGTATACCATGTATACCCTGTATACCCTGCATACCTTGTATACCTTGTATACTCTGTATACCCTGTATACCCTGTATACCCTGTATACCCCTGTATACCCATGTACTCCCAGTATACCCTGTATACCCATGTATACCTTGTATACCCTGTATACCCTGTATACCCTGTATACCCCTGTATACCCATGTATACCCTGTATACCCTGTATACTCATGTATACCCTGTATACCCATGTATACCCTGTATACCCTGTATACCTTGTATACCTTGTATACCTTGTATACCCTGTATACCCTGTATACCCCTGTATACCCATGTACTCCCAGTATACCCTGTATACCCTGTATACTCATGTATACCCTGGATACCCATGTATACCCTGTATACCCTGTATACCCATGTATACCCTGTATACCCATGTATACCTTGTATACCCTGGATACCCATGTATACCCCTGTATACTCATGTATACCCTGTATACCCATGTATACCCTTTATACCCTGTATACTCATGTAACATGGCAAGACCAAAAAAGATGAATTAGCGTGTCTCAGGAATTGTTGCAAAAGGCATATATGTCATTTTCTTTTCGTCCTATTTTAAGTCAGAAATCATTGGTTGGTATGCGCCTATGTGATAGTATAAATTGGAACTCAGTTTGGTGCTTTTTGTGCACCGTACTTTGCGCCATAAAATAGGTAAGTTCTTAGTTATATGTTCCTTCTTCGTCTGAGTAGTTACAGTCTTGAAGTCATTTTAGTTGGCTTTTACGTGCGGTTAAACTATTGGCTCTGGTCAGCTTTTGGTAAGTTAATGGACCTAGCTTTTCTCTTTTAACAATTCAGTTTTCACTCGGTGTTTCAAAGTTATAGTCTTTTGTCTCAGCAGTATCGGTAACATTTTTGCGAATTCGTTGAACAGCTGATAGTAAACCGTAAAAACTGAGCGGGCGTACTCTTAAATCATGTTTGGAGGCAAAATCTTTGAGAGTCAGAAAATTATCGTTTCCCGTTTGGACGTGCTTAATTTTGGAGATACTTATTTCAAACCACTCTTTAAAAAAGAAATTTTTCATTATCTATCCTTATCAAAGAGTTGAACCACAGAACCTGTTCTTGACAAGCGATATCAGAACTTACTTTATCCACAAAGTTTATTTCTTTCCAATATTCCAATTTTTCTTTAGTTACGGGGTCCGTTGCCCTAATCTCTTTCATAGTGTCAGAGACGTTGAGTCTCACCGGTTGAGATTACCACGGAAAATGAGATTGCGGCCGTAGTTCTCCAGTTATAGATCGAAGATAACGTTCCATTTTCCGTTTTAAGTAGCGTCCAAGTACTTTTTAACCCATGTTGTTTTAAGACATTTGTTGAAAGGATAAAGGTCAATCATCTTCAGACCTCCATACTCAGGTTCATTGATCATAACTTTTCTCTTGATTTTGTCACCTTCACCATTCCATAGAAAATGGTAAAACATGGCATTTATTTCCTTTGTAGCGTAATGATTTGAGCGTAAAAGGGAAGAGCAAGTATACCAGTTGTGATGCGGTCAGTGAGTTAAGGACAGTAATTTTCCCTAACAACGTGAGCCTGCAATATTTCCAGCAACTCAAAAGCTTCCTAATGTTTTCAGTTTTTTCGTTGTGATTCAACGTCAAAGCCATGTCCGGATCGGTTGACAGCCACAGACCAAGTGTTTGACTTTATATTTTGGCCATTTAAACTTCTTTCCTGAAACAAGGATTTGTTCATGTGCTGTCTTAGAACTGATCCAAAGGGCTTCCGTTGTGCTATCGTTTAACTTGAGGCCGGAGATCTGACAAAAATCATCTAAACTTTGTATTGCTGGTATAACGGATTTCTCTCAACCGTCTAACACAAGAGTGATATCATCAGCGTGTTGGCTTATCTTAACTTCGTCATTACTCAGAGAAAAACCTGTTATGCCCTTGTTGTTTCGGACGGTCTTGGCTAAGATCTCCGCAGCAAGAATAAACAAATATGGAGAAAGGGGACAGGCTTGCCTAACTCCCTTTGAGTCCGAAAAGAAATTGCTTGAATGAGCTCATTCAACCATTGCTGAGTACACAGTTTTCGCATTTTTGATTAAGGATAGCCTTTATCCTCATCAGATGAAACTTTTAATTACTTATTATTTTAATTACTCATTATTTCGTCCGGCGTTACATTATTGGCTAAGGCAATGTAAATTCCGAAGTAGGCTAAACTGATAAACAATTAGGTAATACACAATAACTTCATCGCTCAATTTATTGTGATTTACCAAGGCCACCGACTTTAGATGTTTACTGCATAATATCAACTTCTTATAACTCTTAAAATTCCTGCGCAGGGGTGGTTTGGACATCAAAAGAGGAAACAGGGTTTGACTTTGAAGGATGCAAATTACATAAAACATACATAACTTACATAGACCTCAAAACAGTATAGTACTCTGCAAAGGGAGGTATTGGTTTAGTTACAAGAAAGGTGTGAACATTAACTTATACAAATATTACAACGTAACATTTCCCAGGTTCGCGTTCAAAACATAAATAAAACTTTACAGCGAATTTAACAACTATGAGTTTAGAATCTCTTGGGAATCTCATATAGATCTGGTGAGAGTAAGCACACTATATTGATATTCTTTGCATAAAATTATACGGTTCTCATTATCGATCATATGGTGTTCTCTTACTATTACGTCCATGCACGGTACACAGCCACATACTATCTAGTATCTAACGTTTCCTTAGCTTATCATACTTTCTTTTTTTCATCGTAAAAAGCACCTGTAAGGAATGGTGAAATATGGGAAGAACCATTAGAAAAGCGAAACTATTTACGACTTTGACTATTTTGCTAAACATGTCACAAAAATGACTGTTGTCATTTTTGACATCATTCTTTGAGTTGACATGCTGGATAATAGCATGCATGACAAAGAACTCGAGCTCATTCAATCCAGGATCTTTGATTTTTTCGTCATTTTCTTCCAGTGAAAGTCTTGATCGCTTCGCTTTCACGGTATGCCTGTATTTTTTACTTCGCTTTCTCGGTGTTCTACATTTTTTTGTCTCGAGGAAGCCTTTGGTTTCCCCCACATTGTTTGCCTTGGCACCATCCACAACAACTGCATGCGCTCATACAGGTACCGTATTCGTTGATGCACTTGCACCTGCCTTTGTAGTTCCTTGACGCTTTTGCTTTTGATTTGTATTTATTTTTTTCTCCGCATCGACATGGTTTTCTTGGAGTTGAGATTGGCACTTTCTCCGTGGAAAGCGTGGACTGACTCTCGAGAGCATCGAGATTGCTGTTTGTTTCAGAAGTGAATCGCTCCTGCTGATCACGTTGAGAGCTAATTAGCGCATCATAGTGTCCTGGACCACTTGCATTATACGCGAGATAGACGACGTTTGAGGCTGGCACCATCCCTTCAGGAGAAATCATCACAAAAGGAGTCAAAAAACTTGGATTTAAGACAAATAAAGGTATTTGAATAACGTTTGCGATTGCTAGAGGTATAAGATCGCCTAGCGGACCTGAAAACGTTCCCGATTGGATAAAACGATCTGCCTCCGAAAAAAAGTTTACATCACTGAGCAGAAATGACTGATAAAAATCTACTTGTTCTCCCTTCAATTCTTGGACGACTTTACTCCTGAGAATGCTACCGATATCGTTGATGGATGTAGATGTGTCTACTCCCATCTGTTCCGCAAGGTGCGACATTAACAATGATTCATTATATGCATTCAAGCTCATCATTTGTTGCAATGGCGTTGCCACTGCCATAAAAAGGCAATTGCTGTCACCCGTTACCTCAACAATGTCAAATCCCCAAGTCGAGGCTAGTTCTGTAAGCCTTTTTCTCTCACTTTTTGTTGGCTCTCCAGCTACTGTTTCATTTTCCATTAATACCTTTGTTTTTAACGGTCTAACATAAGTGATTATCTTCTTGAATTTGAATAGTTTTGGCCCCCGTTTTTTCCTCAACGATCTTGCTCATTTTCCACCACTGTAAAGCATCTCTAAAAATGACAAAGTTTTCGATATCCGGCTTTAAACTGTTCTCCACGTTTTCACCATCACTACACGTAGAACTCTCGTCATTGCTATCGATTAATGATGTAAGACGGGTTTGTATGTGAGAAATACTCTCTATAGATATTGTTCAAATTTATTTTTTTATCTGTAGCATTTGTCATCACATAGAAATTTATTTTCGTGAACTTTGTTATTGGTTCCGTCACGGGTTCTGCTAGATTGCGGTACTCCTGTTAACAGAATATTCTTTCTACTGTTTATGAGCATGTCACCTATAGATTGTAAGTTTGCATCGCGTTTCCTGTTTGAGTTAAAAAGGATCCTTTCAACGCGAGTTCTTGCAAGATCATTCCAATCGCAGTTTGTTACTGTTGTTTTCTTCAGTTCTCTGTGAAGCCGTTCGTTTCGTGTTGTCCCACAACCTGGGGGGATATGTGACAAGCATCCTTTTCTAACGTGACATTCTATATTTTTTAGTTCTTTTCAACGCTTTTGCTGATAACACGAGCGCCACTTGAATTCTTATACGAAATCCATTTTGTGATAAAGTTGTTTAGGTTGCGCAAAATCTCTTCAGGAGCCGGAGTTGGAAGTTTTCTTTCGATTGCTTGATCTCTCTGATCCCTGAAGACCAGTGAGTAATCTTTGCAAACCTCTGCAAAGATATGAGAACGTTTTGACACCTTTTTTGTAATTCTTTGTATGGCGTGAAACAAATCCAACTTGACGGGTACGTTTGGGAAATATAACGTGAGCAGGTGGCGCCACTTGCAGCAATTGTCTATGTATATTCCTGACAGTTTTACCCCTCGATTTTTGAAGTCTAACGAGAGAGCTTCAAAAGAGGTTTTACCTCATCAAAACTCTCTGACATAGCGAACGACCACCTTATTACTTGTCCTTTCTCATTTATTATGCAAAAGAGTGATGTGTACTGCGTAATCCAGGCGCTGTCTTCTTTTCTTTCGAAGCCGATATTTGCAGCTGCCTTGAAGGTGTGGTCACAGCTAATCCATTTAGCATTTAACGAATTCATTGCCTCTGTAAAAGGTGTTTTTCTCATTAAAAGATGCAACGTAAACGCTTCTTATCAAGTTGTCACCTGGGCAGGGAAAAAGGTTCCCAGGAACGTCAAAATTTAACTCCTCAGCTGACTGTGTGAACCCCAATTCTTTCGCTTGGTGTGCGTCATTTAGAAATCGGAGCAACCTGTTTCTTAATGTTCTTTTGTACCTTTCTTTTATGAGCTCTTCAACAGCCGATATTGCCAATCCTCTATCTAATAAATCTTCAATTTCATCTGCCAACCGCATAGTCATACCAGATCGGTGTGTGAGAACAAATGGCACGCACGTATAATCCTCTGAGGTGTCGTGGAAATAGCTTGCGGGTGTATCATGACCATGCTCACATTTATATACTTTGCTAACAAGCAACACTGGACTTTCAACGTCGAACAACATTCGGGGATTTGATCTGTCTTTTCTTGCATTATTCCATTCATTGACGCTTCCCCTTGATAGCAAAGAACATCTTCCATCTTCAGCGCACAAATGACAATACAATTTTCTTTTTTTGGCGCGAAAAGCCGGATGTTGTCCAAGAGGATCAAAAAGGATATAGGGAAGTAAAAAGTAAGGATCTGCGTCTTGTCTCCAATCGGGTCCTGTAATCGGCGGTGGTGATGGTGTGACGACAGAAGGAAAGGCCACCATTTCTTCATTCATTGATATATCGTTTTCATATTCCACTGTTGCTTTCATCAATATCTCTCTTTGCTTTTCTGTCACCTCAAATCCAGTCACAAACGTCACAAATAGCACAAGAATGTAAGTAGAAATTATTAACATTGAGATGTGCATGTTTGATTTGTGTTCCGTCTTTCTTACTTGATCGTCCTGGCCTATCCACGGTGTGATGCTATGGGGAAAATCTTACGTGAATGAATTTATGACAGTTGATTGATTTGTAGCCTGGGTATGTCCGCCTCCTCCCGTCCAACCAAAATCTCGCGCGGGCTTATTGAGTGTCACTGCGTTTCATCAGGTCAGCATTCGCATACTCGTTCAATTCAAATGCCAAATTTATCATCCCTTAAATATGTAGCTTACATGATGACATTTCATATAAAGAAACTCCATGGAAATCGAGTTGCTATTGACGGAAGATTGATTTGTGATTTCCTATCTTAAATTTGAAGGCGATGCGTTTATGTTCAGGCTTCCTGATATGCTAACTGAATTCAGAGTACTTTTTTTCGTTTCTATAGGTGGAGTAGAAGTATAGTTTTTTTGTTTGCACTTATCAGATTGACTTGGTGGTTTTTAAAATGTACTGACAAACTGTAGGAAAGCAGAAGGGTTTTTTTTAAAGTAACTGATTTATTTTCAATATTAAATTGTTTACATAAAAGATTTATTTTGTATATCAAACATGATTTTTTTACTAAAGGGTAGACAGGCTATACCGGGCACACAGGGTATACAGTGTATACATGGATATACAGGGAGTACATAAGTATACATGGGTATACAAGGAATGCAGGGTATACAAGGTATACAGGGTATACAGGGTATACATGAGTATACAGGGTATACAGGGTATACAGGGAGCACATGGGTATACAGGGTATACAGGGTATACATGGGTATACAGGGTATACCTGGGTATACAGACAATACAGGGTATACATAGGTATACAGGGTATACATAAGTATACATAAGTATACAGGGTATACAGGGTATACAGGGTATACATGGGTATACAGGGTATACAGGGTATACATACGTATACAGGGTATACATGGGTATACATGGTATACATGGGTATACAGGGTATACAGGGTATGCATAGGTATACAGGGTATACATAGGTATACAGGGTATACATGGGTATACATAGGTATACAGGGTATAAAGGGTATACATAGGTATACAGGGTATACATGGGTATACAGGGTATACATGGGTATACAGGGTATACAGGGTATACAGGGTATACAGGGTATACAGGGTATACATAGGTATACATAGGTATACAGGGTATACAGGGTATACAGGGTATACAGGGTATACAGGGTATACAGGGTATACAGGGTATACATGGGTATACAGGGTATACAGGGTATACATGGGTATACAGGGTATACAGGGGGTATACAGGGTATACAGGGTATACAGGGTATACATGGGTATACAGGGTATACAGGGTATACAGGGTATACATAGGTATACAGGGTATACAGGGTATACAGGGTATACATGGGTATACAGGGTATACATGGGTATACAGGGTATACAGGGTATACATGGGTATACAGGGTATACAGGGTATACATAGGTATACAGGGTATACATAGGTATACAGGGTATACATGGGTATACAGGGTATACAGGGTATACAGGGTATACATAGGTATACAGGGTATACAGGGTATACATAGGTATACAGGGTATACATAGGTATACAGGGTATACATGGGTATACAGGGTATACAGGGTATACATGGGTATACAGGGTATACAGGGTATACATAGGTATACAGGGTATACATAGGTATACAGGGTATACAGGGTATACATGGGTATACAGGGTATACATAGGTATACAGGGTATACAGGGTTATACAGGGTATACAGGGTATAAATAAGTATACATCGGTATACAGGGTATACAAGGTATACAAGGTATACATGGGTATACATAGGTATACAAGGTATACAAGGTATACAAGGTATACATGGGTATACAGGGTATACAGGGTATACAAGTTATACAAGGTATACATGGGTATACAGGTTATACATGGGTATACAGGGTATACAGGGTATACATAGGTATACAGGGTATACAGGGTATACATAGGTATACATGGGTATACAGGGTATACATGGGTATACATGGGTATACAGGGTATACAAGGTATACAAGGTATACATGGGTATACAGGATATACAGGGTATACAGGGTATACATGGGTATACAGGGTATACAGGGTATACATGGGTATACAGGGTATACAGGGTATACATAGGTATACAGGGTATACAGGGTATACATAAGTATACAGGGTATACATGGGTATACAGGGTATACAGGGTATACAGAGTATACAGGGTATACAGGGTATACATAGGTATACAGGGTATACAAGGTATACAAGGTATACATGGGTATACAGGGTATACATGGGTATACAGGGTATACGGGGTATACAGGGTATACAGGGTATACATGGGTATACAGGGTATACAGGGTATACATAGGTATACAGGGTATACAGGGTATACAGGGTATACAGGGTATACTGGGAGTACATGGGTATACATGGGTATACAGGGTATACAAGGTATACAAGGTATACATGGGTATACAGGGTATACAGGGTATACATGGGTATACAGGGTATACAGGGTATACAGGGTATACAGGGTATACATGGGTATACAGGGTATACAGGGTATACATGGGTATACAGGGTATACAGGGTATACATAGGTATACAGGGTATACAGGGTATACAGGGTATACATGGGTATACAGGAGAATGGACATCCTATTACTGTTATATGAAACACTAGGTCTATTTGGCGTAAGCGTAACATGAAAGAATAACCGAGCATGTACAGCTGGGTAACCAGGTCGTGACAATAAATTCCACAGGTGGGGATGGGCGGTACAGTTGGATCTTCTGCGGGGCGTTTCCGTGGAAACATGGGCCTCGGGTGATTTTTTTTTTCCTGGTTCAAATTAAATCACCCTTTGGCGCATCTTATACGCGAAGTCCAGTTTGTTAACAAACTCTTTGGAGTGAACCTTATCAAAAGCCCTCCAACAGAGAGTTTCTGATCAAGAATGATTCTTGTCGAAGATACTAGGAATGCCTCCATTCGTTAGACCTTATCACGGCCGGTAGACTACGAATAGTCCCCATTTTCCCCAGGTATGGTAGAGCGAGCGAAACGCGAGCGCGCGTGAAAATCACCCCACGCGATAAAAGCGAGACACGTCCGCGTCAGAAATGACAGTCACTGTTTGCAAGAGAATCCTGAATGTCAAAAAATTTTCGTAAAACGGCCGTGTCCTGAGGAAAGTAGGAACTGTAAACTAAAGGTAACCAGCAACGGATTCTATACTATCAAATATTTGGTGCCTTATCTATGTTTAAATCTCTCCAGTCGCTTCCTTTAGGTTTTCCAAATATTTCAGGTACGCAATTTTTCCCGGGAAATTTTAATAGTCAGTAGGAAAAAGAGACAAATATAGACAAATGTATTAAAAAAAATTAAAAACGGTTCTAGCGCAGGCAACGCCCTCAATTTTTTTTTCAGTGTTGTTTACCTGTCAGGTCTAAAACAGTGCTTCAGTTAGCCTTTTTGAAACTTTGCTTTACTGCAATCTAATACGTTATAGGGAAGCAAACGTTTATGCATTGCCTTGTATTCGTTACGCAACCCGTTGGGAGTTGTTGAGTCCGTTAGCACGTACCTGGTAAGTTTAGTCGACTCTGATCACGCGCTTGTGATTTTTCAAGGTAGATCTTGCCTCATGAGAAGTCCTTGTTGCGTCATATTTCAAAACCAAGAATATTTTTTAATTTATACGCTTTTATGGTTGGCTTAAAACAAAACTGCTCAGTAGTACATTGTTCTTCGCGTCAAAAGCGTTCCAATTCAAAATTTTGCTGGCATAAAGATACTGAGAAATTAAGAAATATCACTCTGACTAAATCTGCGCAGCCAGGTAAAGATTTTTGCTGTGTGTTTAAGGCCAGGAGAACTTTTTTTCAGTGTTCATGCTATGTAAGGGTAAACTATCTATTTAAACTATTTCTTACAATGCTACTGGTTTATTTTTTTGTTTCGGGGGTGATAGACTCGCAAAAAAGTCCTTCTTCTGATTTAACCTCTCACGAATTTGCCGTTCGCTTGGCCGCTTTGTGGCCTAAAAAGCTCGCTCCAGTCGCTTAGAAGCTCGTGAGGTCGACTCGTGGCAAGTCTACGGGAGTGGAGTGAAGTTGACAATCAGGTTGTACAAACGCGAGCTCACTGTCAGCAACTTCTTATTCCAGATTACACTTACCTGGACAATAATATTCCACCTGCTCATAAAATGACTTCTGATCCGTGGCTCCAATCATTTACTGTGTTAATGCCTTGATATTAAGTTAAGCTACGTGAAAAAGGACGCATGACTCCCAACAATGTTGCGTCCGTTTGCACGAGGCTAAAAGTTTGACCGGTTTCAAACTTTGCGCAACAACACGCACAACATCCAACAACATGCAACAGGATGTGCAAACGGACGCAATATGTAACATCCAACAATGTTGGGAATTTGTTGGCCAACAATGTTGCGTCCGTTTGCCGGGTACGTAGTCTAACTCTTCTATAAAGTGCTTGGGCAGTTCGTTTAGATAGGAGGTGATCGGCCTTTTATGCACTTAGACGACAATCACATTGT